CCCCCGCTCACCAGCCTAGGCTGGCCCTTTATTTAAACGGAGGCCTATCCCCAACCCGACAGGCAGGACAAAGTCCCTCCTCATCAAGCTTCTTGTCCTTCCTGTAGTACTCTGCGCCACACCCGCCGCTCGCCCTCTTGCAGAGCTCGGTGAAGTTATCTATACACATTTTTTTTCCTGCCCGTCTTTCTCTTCCGTGTGTGTATCTTATATCGTATATCGTATTTAATCTTGCGTGCTTGCGTGTTGGAAGTGGGTACGTATGTATGCTCTGAAATTGGGAGTGGAAGTGGCTCTTTGCTGGTTGATTTGACGTGGTGTGACGTCGAGAGGATGGTTTTGAGGGAAGGAGCGATGGGGCAATGGCTTGAAGTACTTGTGCTCTCGACGCTGGAGTGGAGGGTATCTGAGGGAAGGAAGGACTGTGAATGTTTCCAGGATTCACGAGGAGAAAAGGTGCTGATCGTGTACTTGGAATGATTCCCTTCGTGATTGCTCAGCGTAGTCGTCTTGGAGTTTTGGGACTTGGGTTTGGGGTTTGGGGGCGTTTTCTCTCTTTTGTGTAATACTGTGTATCACTATGTAGCACTGTGTACCATTGTGTACTACCATAGCTGACCTCGGTCCGGCCTCGACTTTCGTCGTTTTGCGACTCTGTCAACGCTACGCTTTTAAGCTGGCTATGGCAGCTCTAGCCTTGGTTCTAGTTATCTATCCTTAATTAACGAGAGAATTTCTCTCTTTCGTAATCTATCTTATCTGCAAGAGAAGGGCGCGGTCGATATTAGCACCGCTGTACCACCTTGAAAAACTTTCTTGGGCCTTCTTGTATATAACTCCTTAGCGGGGTCGTTCGAGTTTGCTGCCTGTGATTCACATTCAGAGTCGAGTACGTACTCGTATAAGAATTGAGATAGAGTAACAGGCACATCATGTTTGTCAGGCTGGTACTCTGAGTCGATTTCATTGGCTCGTGGCTTACGACGAAGGTTGGAAGGATCCATTATGGTATCACTGTAAACTTGTTTCCAAACCACGGCTCATAGGCCACGGAAATTCATGGGCTTTGAAAACCAGATGGCCTTGCAATCTTTACGAAGAATATCACAATCAGGTATTGTTTTTGTAACACCCGAAACATGATGCTCTAGGATATCTGGACATTTACAAATGATATGTTAGAAGAACCAGCGAGCTTCTGGAATCGTCGCGGGCTAGAAGGAACTCATCAACAGTCACATTCATAAGTAATTTCTAAGTCAAATCGATAGATTTTCATTTGACACGAAAGGAGCGACAGTCAATGTTTACCGATAGGCCAAGCGCCTGCAGCAGCAACTGGGGAGAACAGACACCTACTCAAAGACCGCCATGATCATTCACGCTTCGACATCTCCATCCTTAACCCCTCATTTATTTCCCGTGTGCCTCCTTCTCTGCTTTTCTCTCTTTCTCTATCTCCTTTTCCTTGCCCTTCAGCTCAGCACTCCAAGTCCTCTTGGGTTTGAAGCTCACTAGCCCCCTCGCAAAGCTCCTCCAGGTGTCCCTCCGTTCCAATGAATCTTCTTGGGACTGCATCGGAGGCTTTTTCGTGTGGAATTTGTCAGTTGCTGGGGGAGAGAGGGGCTGTTGGGGAAAAGGGGGCGTCCGAGCCGCAGATGACATAACATCTGAGGTATTCTCAGTGGTGCGGATGTTAGGGAGGTAAATGCAAAGGTTGAGGTAGAAAAGGATTGCTGTTGGAAATTGAGGAAGGACTTGATAACCGTTGATCGAGTGTGGATGATTTGTGCTTTGCGAGAACCAGTGGTGTAATTTTATAGGGGTGGCTCACTCACTGCTCAGGAGATAGCATCAGGTAAAGACATTCTTGAATCAGCTTTCATGTTATCTCTGACTCTTGAACATCGGAATCATACTTTTCAAAGAGCCTTGTTCTGCCCCTTGGTTTAAATATTCAACGCTTTTGTCTATGCAATAGTGTGCCAGTCTTTGCACTGCTCGCTAAGGAACCCGGTTAGGTAAGACTTAGCTATAGTCTGGAGTTGCACATCGTAACTTGATCCCAATCCCAACTTCAATCTTTAACAATCTCACAAGAGCGATAGTGACAGAGTTAACATATGTCGGAGTACGATTGAGTGGTTGGGGCAAGTACAGGGAGTTGTGCCTCAGGCAGCCCGCATTAGCGTAAGTAGCGAGGCACGTGAACCGTGGCTTCCTTATAGGGAGCCCCTCCTTAGAACCTCTAGAATAGATCAGATCAAGAAAAGCAATAACCAAAAGCACAACTCGAGTCTGGAATTAACATAAACTGTGTTACTCACAGTATCTTTCTCACTGCTGCGTCCTTTCTCGATGACATGAGCCTGTGGTATCCTGCGACCTGACCAGGGAAAACTTACCTTATTCACATGGTGAACTTTCAAGATCGAATCCTGTCAGAGAGTGAATCTCTCCTGGTGCTACCCGGCTCGAGTTTTTCCAGCATTTGAAGTTCCCAGACAGCGAGTCGTCGTGCAAAACCAAGCTAGCCATTTGGTCCATGGATGAGCAAGATCGACAGCGATGTGAATAAGGATGGTTTCTTATCACCATCATTAAATATGAATCAGGGTTCGAGCAATCAAAAATTTGGAGCGCCACCGCGCGAAGGGGCACAAAATATTCTTAAAGTCAAGTCACAAATCATCGATTACTCATATGAAGCCTGTGGGATGCCCTCGGGCTGACTGGCGAGTCGAAGCTTCCGCTCCTGGTGACACTTCAAAATTTCGATTCTGTCAGAGGCTTCTGGGATATATAAATACCATGCCCCGAATGTGTTTCCAGATTTCTCTACATCATTCAGGGCAACGAACGATTGCGCGACAAAAACCGAGCCAGTAGAAATATTTCCACCTCGAGATACATAGCGGTAGCCCCAGCCAAGATCAGCACCCTTCTTAAAAAAAGAATATCAAGCCGCCAGAACACTACGACAAGAAACAACTCTCTGGAACATCAGCACTGCTATTGCTATTCTTTGCCATATCCCCAGAGATAGCGTTTACTGCACCCCGTCGCCAGCACCTCCCCAGACCATCCCAGCAAATTCCCACATCAAAAACAGTAAGAATCCTCCATCTGGTACCCTTCACAGACAGTATCAGAGAAACTAACACCTTGAAGCAGAAACCATGTCGGCGAACATCCAATCCGAAATGGCGCCGATGCCCCAGCCCAAACAGTGGTCCAAGCTAAACGAACAGGACCTAATCGCAGAGTACCAGCTGCTGGGCCACGTCTACGACCCCGCCGCCAACCCAGCGATGCTCCCCCCCCAACTCGTCGAAGCCCTAGTCCAGGACTACTCCTCCAGCCTGGCGGCCTGGCTCAGAGACGCGGCCCGCTCGCCCGCTCTGAGCTTCGAGGAGAAGCACACATGCGTCGACAAGGTGCAGGAGAAGAGGGACGAGGCCAACGGCCAGAGCTACAAAGCCTGGCTCGACTTCGTGGTGAAGCGCCGGACGAGCATGCACAAGCTGAACGTCGAGGAGATGGACGAGATCCGCAAGGGTCTGGCGGCGGAGGAGAACTTCGAGCGGGGCCTGGAGAAGGAGCTGGCCGTGGTCTCGGAGGAACTGGCGGCCAAGATCTGGAGAATCAGATATGGAAGCCCCGAGTCGGAGGAGCCTGGATTCATATACTGAGGCTAGCGACGGGTAGTACTAGCACCCGTACTAGCACCCGCCGTAGTAGTAGTAATAGTAGCAGCAACAGCAACAGCATCGTTCCAACATCTACTGCGAATCATTTAAAAAAATGTCCGCCTTCCATCCCACGCATCAGGTCGTGAATCTATCTATATATATATATATATATCTATATATTTTCAAAGCAGAACCCTGTTTCAACTCAAACATCACCATATAAATCCCCCAACGAGTATCAAAAGTAAGACTCCAAGATTTTAATACGGGAAAGGAAAAGGAGAGGAAGAGGAAGAAGAAGAGGAAAAGGAAAAGGGGGTGGACTTGAGAATAGAATAGAAAAGAATAGAATAGAAATCCATTCTTGCATAGCATGAAAGAGGAGCAAGAGGAGCAAGAGGAGCAATATCGCCACTATGAACGCAATCATCCATCCCCCAGCCTCCTACCAAAACAGAACCTCTTTCTGCTTCTTCTTCTTCTTCTTTTCAACCATCATGATAATAAAAAAGGCATAGGTATCACTCTTTTCCCATTCCTCACTTTGCCCACACTTTCCTCTTCGTCTCTCGTCTCTCCCCTCTCGCCTCTTGCCTCTCGCCTCTCGCAACCTCTGATCCTCAAGCAATTGGCGCTCCCAGCGACTCCATCTCCCTCACATATCTTTCCCAGTGCGCGATACCCTCCCCGTAGAACTCAACATGCGCATCCGCCAGCGCGCCAAACTGCGCTTTGAACTCGATCCGCTTAATGCGCTCGAAATCCTGCACCTCCCTCACAACCTCCTCGTCAAAGGCCTCGGTCGTCTTCTTAGCCTCTTCTACCTCGCGCGTCAGGTCGTCGATGCGCAGCTCGATCTTGCGCAGCCGCTCACGGTGCGACAGGCTGGGGTCCACGCCCCGCACGTCCTCGATCTTGCGCTGGATGAAGGAGCCCGCACCCGTCGACCCGCTGGGCCCGTTGGCGACGAGCATATCCCTGTCTGTGGTGTTCTTAGCCAGGTACTCGGTCAGCTGCTCAAAGTCGAGCTGTTTCTGCTCGCGGGCCTTCAAAAGGTTCTTGACGGCGGAGCTGTAGGCTTGCATATCCCGCAGGCTGCCCAGGTAATCTTGGTCCGTGTGCTCCTTCAGCCGTCGCATCCCGCTGGAGGTGTCTTCTACCGTGTGTGCGAATAGGTTGATAGACTCTTCGACGCCGGGCTCGAGCAGGACTAGCTTCTGGAACTGCTCGGCCAGTTCCTTGAGATCGGCCTCCAGGTCGTTCTCGCGGCGAGCGACTCTCGCAACGATCTTCTCAACGTGACCTAGGTCTTCGTCTAGCTTGTCCGACTTCTCGCGGACTTCGATGAAGCGCTTGTCGGGCTTATGGACTTTGGTGAAGGCGTTGATAAAGGTATCTGTAAAGTTGTCAAAGACACCCGAATTTTGCTCGGAAGCCGAGCCGCCGCGATGAGGCCGGCTCCTCATAGTAGCGTTCCAGTCTGTACTCTCGAGGAAGATGATGAGTAGAGCGCTACGGCGAAGGACTGGGTGAAGGGCCAAGCGGGTAAGGAATCGATGGAGGGAGTTGGCGCGGCGTTGTGTAAAGTCTGGCCCGAAGCGGTCTCCCCGGACATACTCCATCTTGTGCTTATCTGGTAACGGAGGGACTGCACATGCTGGGTATTCTCTGCTCAAAGTCTTATAGAGGAAGACAAAGTCCGTGAATCGTCTGCGAACGCTGGTGGTGGGTTTCTGGAAGGAAGGGAAGGTGGTCTAGACGTCTAGGTCAGCGCAAGCTCAAATCAGTGCAGATGCGTAGGATACAGACATTCGTAGTAACCAAATATGATACAAAGGCATCCTTAGAGCCGTCGTTCTCTTTGATAGGTTGCGTGACCAGGCATTCCAGAATCCCATCTCCGACTCCAGCCAGATCCATCGCATCCGCGTTACGGCCCAAGGGCCCAGCGCCGCTGTGTCTTCCGATTGAGCCTTGATCCTCGGACTCTGCCTCTGGGCTGGTAACCACCCTTCTCCCTCCGTGGTCGCGGTTGTTCAGCCATTCGACATCCGCGAAGTCGTCGTTCTCCATCTCGCCGGCGGAGACCTGAGCGGGGCACACAGTCGGGAGTTTCTCACAGCTTTTGATCTGGAGGCTGGAAGGAAGAGGTGATGGATCGACTGGTATCTTTTTGTGTGGCAGGAATTACAGGCTTGACCATACAATTTTCTGATGATATCGAGAAGTATTGAGAGTGCAGCCGTCGAGTGAGGTCGATGTGTTGATACAGTAGAGTCCTTGGGGAAGCTCGGCCATCGTCATTGAAGCTATCCACTTACGGCAGCCTTATACTGCTCAGCGCCACCGCCGAAGAGTGACAATCGTCTACGCTTCGTATTGGGACAGAACATGCATGGTATAAAATTTGGTCGCGAACCGTGGAGCTCTTCTGATAATTTTCATGAGTTGGACCTTTCATCGATTTTTTTTTTTTATTTTACAATGCCGACCGAATAACAGCTCAGCAATTCTAGCGGGGTTTCTCTAAAGTTGGTCCCGTCCCGTCCCTCGTATCCATGCAGCCCCCGTCCCAGAATGCTAACCTACACAAATGCTACGACAAAAGGAAACTCTCGAATTCGCATGGTCGTGTCTGACTAACTAGACTTCTTTCCAGCAGCCGCCTCAATCTTCTGTCCCTCCGCAGCCTCCTTCTCCGCCTCGATGGCCTCGCTGACTGCGCTCTTTTCGGCATCGGTAGACGCAGCTTGCAGTCGTCGCTCCTCTTTCTCATCGATATCTTCGTCGTCGCGAGGAGTCGCTCGGCCAGAAGACTTGTTCTCGTTGTCTTGCTCGTTCTCCTCCTCAATGAGGTCTTGTTGCTCCTTGAGGACCTCCAGACGTTGCTTATTGGTTGCTGCTCCCTCGGCATTGTGAACCTCGAGCTCAATCTCGTGGAACAGCTCCTCCGGGATGGATGACAAGACACCAGTCAGGGCATCGATTTGGGTATTGAACTCCGAGTCACTCTTGCCTTGGGCGTACATGAATGCATTGCTCAAGACCAGAAGCGTGGAAGGAACTCCGTGCTTGAGTCTGAGATCCAACCAAGCTTGCAAGTCATCCCGTAGACGGCCTGGAGAGACACCGTGAGTTCGGAGACCACGGCTCAGGCAGGCAATTTGCAACTCCGGAACAGACAAGCTCTCAACACCTTCGTAGCTGATCGCTCTGTCGTCTCTCTTAATCTGTCTCATACGATGACGAATCTGATATCGGAGCATCATATCGGTTCCGAATGTGTTGAGGTTCATGTATCTGCACATGCCCACAAGTTGTGGTCTCGACAAGTTGTCCAGGGTCAGATCATCCTTGAAGATCTTGCAAACATTGATCACCTCGGTAGGTGAAGGGGTCTCTCCCGTCGCCCTGACCTTGCGGAAGAACTGTGTAAACTCGTCTCTCTGGGCGTTCGCGGGGCTCAAAGGCAGTCCGGTCTCCTTCAGAGTATCCCTCAAGAAGCTGCTGACTTCTTTCCGAGTGGTTCTCAGAGTCGTAGCTTTCTTGTCTCTGGAAGACTGGCCTTCGTATGTGCTGGGCAGCATGTTGGGGAACAGCTTGAGGGCAACCGGAAGCAAGAGTTCTGCGAACGGCACCAGCACAAAGACGGAGAAAGGAACCAAACGCCCAATATCCTGGACCGTCCTCTGCAGTTGGCGGTGCTCTCTTCGGCTGAGCTCGTATCCCGCCGCCATCTTCAACGCCAAACGGAAACTGATCTTGACCTCCGTTGCCAGCAACTTGGTTCCATCGGCGTAATGTCGTACCTCCTTCTTGATCTTCTGCATCAGGGTCAACTTCTTCTCGTCCTTCTTCGCGTCCTTCTTCTCCAGCGATTTATCCTTCACGCCCGCTAGCTCCGACAGGGTTAAGGCCTCGGTAGCACCGGTCTTGGGAACCGCAGTTGCTACGTCGTTCGGAACCGGATCGATCTCGTGCTTCACTGCCTGTTCCGCGGCCTCCTTCGCTGTAGCTTTGCTCGGAGTGTCATTTTCCTTGAGCGGCTTCGTCGCCTGCTGGACGTTGAATCCTGGCGGCGGGCCTCCGGAGGCGTTCCCGGGCGTGTGGGTGTCGGTCGAGACTAACCTAGAGCTGAGAGGGGCGAGGATAGCCAATGCTGGCACCATTGGCGGCAATTTTCGGCCATTGCGACGCAGGTAAGCTGTGTAGGCGGACGAGGGACCGATGCGAACACTCCGAGCTGTAGACAATCGGGGTTAGATGATTTTCCCAAAGCGTATCTGACGTGGAAGAGTGGAGGGACGAGTTTACCTCCGCTCAAGAACGAGGTTTGCGCCGCGCTGCGGACCAGTCTCGAAGAGGCGCTCATGGTCAAATCAATGGAGTCGCAAAGTCGGCGAGTCGCAGAATCGTAACAGTGGATCGCGAGGGGATTCAGAAGGTGGGTGCGAGATGGATCAAGTGGTTGTTGACATATTTTGTGTTGATGAACATGAAGCTTACGAAGGAGATACTGAGCCGGCCTGATGCCTGCTCATAAAGGTGGAGGTAAACATGTGTTCCAATGAAGCAAACTCTTCCCACGTCCGAACATGCCACGTGATGGATGCATGGATGGGGTTGGTGATCTTCGCCCCTGTGAAGCAAGTGCAGATGCTTGTCTGTTGATATGTGTACGGTACAATGATTGGCAGCTGTGTAGAGTTTTGATCGGTCAACAATCTACGGGTACTAGTTACAAGTACAATTATTTCTCGTTGTCCTAAGTAAGTATTGCAATCTAGTACCGGTACTGCAGTAGTATGTTACTTCATACCCCAGTACCGGTATATTTCGAGCGATGCCGTATGCCTAGAGTGATTGGCCCGGGGTGATGGGTGAGGTGACAGTTCGATCCTGACTGACGACTGACGACGGACGTCGGATGACTAACCCCTGACCCTCAGCTCAACCTTTTCTCTGGATACCGGTAGGTACCTCCCCTACTGTAGGTGCGTAGGTAATATTACCGGTAGTACTTACTGTATGTACAGTCCAGTCCAGTCCAGTCCAGTCCAGTACCATCCGGGGTAAATGCCCAGCGAGCCAAAGCCCCGCCAAGCAAAGTCCCGCCAAGCAAAGTCCCGCCAAGCAAAGCTCGCTCAACCTCAACCGTTTGGCGGTGCTGACCAAGTAGACAGCCTGGGCAGCCTAAGGCAGCACAATCTAGGTTACAAAGTGAAGTACCACTACGTAAGTACCGGTACTGATTCCCCCGCTCGTCCCATCACATCGCATCCTACAACCACAGTTGTATTGTACAGTATCAACAGCTTCATTTTCTTTTCCTCTTTTCTCCCACCGTATCACAACCACTCCTCACTCACTTCCTCTCTTGCTCCTTGCACCATGGATATTTCTTAGCTCTGGCGTTCGGTGGTTTGCTGTGCAGTGCAGCGCTGGGCTAGGTGCGGCGGGCACATGGGACTCGAACCTCGGCCCCCCAAAATTGTCCATATATTATATTATATTACAGTATAGGAATAGGAATAGGACCAGCACCAGCACCAGGAACGGGTCCTGTAATCGACGGCCGATACTCTACAACCCAGCCTGGAGCAACATGAGGCTCAAGAAAGCAGCGCGCATCATCCTCGTCGGCGCACCGGGTGTTGGAAAGGGCACGCAAGCCGAGCGCATGCTGCAGAGGTTTCCCCAGCTCTCCGCCATCAGCTCAGGAGATCTCCTCCGCGAGAATGTCAAAAACCAGACCCCACTCGGTAGGTGCCCTCCCCTTTTCTCGGTGTTCTCGCCCGTCTTGACAGCTCCCAGGTATTAAAGCTGCGAGCAAAATGCGCTCCGGCGCCCTCGTCCCCGACGCCATGATCCTCCGGGTCATCCTCCACGAACTCAAGACTCGCGGCTGGCTCTTCCCCGCCGGGCAGACACCTCTGACTTTCAACTCGGTCTCTGCGAGCGCGGTACAGCAAGACTTCGATACCGACTCCTACGTTGAGCAGCCGTCCCTCGCGTCAGCCGCTACCCCGCCCCAAACCTCCGACGATCCCTCGGCCTCTTTCATCCTCGACGGCTTCCCCCGCACTGCAGGACAAGCATCTCAGCTCGATGCGCTGATACCCATCAACCTCGTCGTGTCGCTGAAGACGCCCTTTGAGGTTATACTCGAGCGGATTGCAGGGCGGTGGGTGCATGCGCCGTCGGGACGGGTGTACAACACTACATTCAACGCGCCCAAGGTGCCTGGCAGAGACGACGTCACGGGGGAGCCGCTGACCAAACGGGAAGACGATGATGAGAGTACGTGGAAGACGCGCCTGGAGAAGTTCAAGGAGACGAGTGAGCCGCTGCTGGAGCATTATGCGCGGAAGGGCGTGCTATGGGAGGTGCAGGGGCACAGCAGTGACGAGATAAGTCCGCAGCTGTATAGGGAGTTTGAGAGGCGGTTTGCACTGGATTCGTAAACTAGCGAGGGCAGGGTATTATTGACATCGGGAAGCTTTGATGGTGGGCTTAGAATTGTTCTTGGTCGTTTGGGCTGGCGTCTTTGATGGGGTGCGGCTGGAAATTGGGATGGTCTGTATCTTCAGGACGCTTTGTATAGTGAGCAGACCGGGTTGGACGACATCAAGATTAACTTCTTACCGGCGTAATAATTCATTTTTCATTCTTCATTCGTTCAGCCTTGGCTGTGCATTTCTCGCTTGTGGCTTCTAACCTTGTAGTGGGAAGGCCCAAAAGTTGCGAGGTCAATTCCTACCCGTTACCATTTCCGGTCTTACCTCCCTTCTTTTCCTATGTCTATCTTTTATTTTGTCCAAAGTTAAATAAACCCACTCCCCTCCCCCCTCTCCTCCTCCTCCGGGGAATAACGAGTCGTAATTGAGTTCGCTGTGGCAGTTTCTATTTTTTTTGTTGTAGGGGGAGGGGGGGTTTATATGGGAGGGTGAGGAGATGAGAGATGAGAGATGAAAACTTTCTACTTGGCTTTACCTGCTCTGCTTTGCTCTGCTCTGCTCTGCTCGTTAGGAAGTCCGCGGTGTGGCGCTGGGGTTCCTCACTACTTATCGGAAGTATGTATTACAGAGAGAGATTTTGATGCTGTGCTTGTGGAGGAGGGGGGTAGTATCAGATGAGTTGGACCGGATTGGTTTTCAGTTCGGGCGGGAAGGTTTGGGTTTGCTTTGGTTTAGATGGGCTGGGCCGTGAGGGGTTAGCGGTATGTACGTTTAGAGTGGAGTGGGTTTTTGATTCTTCTTCTTCTTCTTCTTTTTCTTTATCCATGTATTCTATGTTGCATATAAGGAGAGTCCTTTCTCGCCGCCTCTGAAGCCAGCAGACGTCCCTCGGAATGAATGCACCACGCAAGATTCAAGACGCAGCGTGCAATCACCAGATCACATTTCACATACGTACGTACACATCTCCCCTTGCAGATAACCCGCCTGCCTGCCAGCCTTTCCCTGAGCCAACCAGCTGCATGCAGAAAGGCAGGTCTGAAGCCGAGCATCCGCTAGCTGCACCTTACACGAGTGTTTCGTTCCATGATATATCCACCCACCAACCCTTACTCTCGTTCTCTTTTGTCGCAGAGCGAAAAAGGCTCGCGTTCGTAGCTCTTGTGTAGAGCCGGGTTGTTTGCAGAGCGAGCGCTCTTATCGAAGGCGCGATACCGTGTTTTAGTCGATCGAAGTAAGCCCTTCTCATCTCTCATACCCGTTCCCCTTCTATCGCTAATCGTCCTGGTCTTTTCAGCCGGTATGTCCGTCAGCTATAGATAGTAGTCGGCGTGGTGGTCGAGGGAGGGAGGGAGGGAGGTTCGGAACCGCCGGTAGAGGAAAATCTCTGCGAGAGTCGCCGCATGTAGGAATTCTCCATCCACACGTGTTTCTCTCACAGGACAGGATGCCTTCGAGACAGCCCGCCTTCATCCTCGGTACTCTACTTCGGACTTTCCCGAAAGGGCCTGCTAAAAATCTCATCTCGCAGTCGAGAGCTCTGTCATACACAGGGCAGAAGTAACAACCGCTATCAATCTGCGAATCCAACAACCAGCTCCGTAACTAGATGGACAGTGGAATGATGCGCATACCGTTTTGATGCTCGATGTGATGTGATTCTTGAGGATTAATTTGGATCGCGTTTTATGGGTGGTGGGGGGCTTTTGTTACACGTCAAGTGGGAAGATAGGAGGCGCTGGTCTGTCAGCACGTGACCTATGCGCGCTCTAAAGCGGCAGGAGCGCGCCCAAGAAAAAAGAGCGGCTGCTAGTTACAATTTCATCATCGGAGCTATAAAATAAAAAAAAGTTCTCGACACTGCAACTCTGCAACTCTTCAGCTTCTCAACACCTCAACACCTCAACACCTCAACACCTCAACACCTCAACACCTCAACACCTCAACACCTCAACACCTCAACACCTCAACACCTCAAGTAATCGACATCACGGTACCAAGACACTATGGCACCACGACACTGCGACACTCCAGCACTACTTCGATCAACATCGACATTGACCTCAGTCTCGAGATGGACCTCGCGACTCGTGACTGCATCCGGAGCAACGAGCGATGTGATCCCGCAACTCTACGACCATCGAACGGTGACTCCCATTGAGGGCGTACACAATGATATATTTATCGCTCCGCGCGGAGAAGAGAGGGCGCAAGAGATTGCAGCTCTCCCCAAGGCTCAGAAAACTGGAGTGATTTCATACACATTTCGCCGACTTGACCCTAGCATCCGCGCCATAGTTGGGACCAACCAAAACCAAACGTATGTATTACAAGAGCTATGAGGGCTAAAGGTCTCTACTATGGTCCGGGGTTCATTTTATAGGAGCTGGCAGGTAACCGGTCCGGTCTGCCTGCCAGGACCTCGTTCCCTTATGGGGGTTCGGTGCCATTCCATCTTGGAAGATTCTCGTGGGGGGCTTAATTCCGGCAAAGATGAGTCTCTATGTGATTACGGTCCATGAGGTAGAACGTAGCAGGGCTCGCGGAATTGAGACCTCGGTCCTTCTACAGCTCCGATGTGAGTCATTTTATCACAATTTTGAAACCACACTTCTTCTCCGGAAGATTGTTTTGCTACCATGATACTGGTACGAGGTCATCGTCAGCGATAATTCCGCGGGTTGGACTCAATACCTGTACGTGGTACCCGGTACGAACCTCTAGCTCTTGCTGCGCTCTTGGTATTACACTTCCTCCAAGAGACAGCATACGAATCTGCAGAGCCAAGATTGAGTCAACGACATATGAATCATCGAATTCGGAGGATATCATGTTGAAAAAATCCTACCTCATCTAGGGGTACGTTGTCAAAAACTTCCTTTCGTGCCTTCCTCTCCTCTTGCCATGCGCCATCACCAAATTCTAATTTGTCCGCAGAGAGAGCCAAAACAAACATACCAGGCTGTCCTTTGGAGACTCCATAAGATCTTAATCTACAGGCTACTGTAGATAAAACGGCATGCAGGAAAGGCTGGGTGGGGTAGATTGCTATGTCGCGTGGATATGTCAACCAGTAGTAGGGGTATTCGCTGGAATGGACTTGTACATAGGCTTATCCTCCTCCTTGAAACACCAAAATGATATCAGCATTCAGTATATTCTCAGTCTTTTTTATATAGTCGCTGCGGTCGCAACAGAAAAAATATCCCTTCCCCAGACTTTAGAATAAGATCCCAGAAGTTTGAACGGCCGTTTTGATGGCAGGGTTCAGTGCTACTGGCTCAGAACAAAAATACCTTGCAAATAACAAAACCTAAGATCTGTAACACGCTCTACCTGTATCTCTGCTTCTATTCCCTATATTCTACCTCCAAAATTGCAGCTTTTCGCAAAATTGCGTGGTGCGGCTTTTGTTGTCGGTCGTTGTTTTTAAGCGATGAAAAAGTGGGTCGCTCAACCTCACCAAGCAAGTATCAACAAATAACTGAGCACCCCGGACCCACATCCAGAAGGTATACTCTAGCGGAAACTCTGGTCCGCCAGATCTTAATCCGTACAAGTTGGTGAAATGAATGATAAGTTTTCCAGGTCCTTGATCATGCTCTTATATAGTCACTGTGACTTGTACCTCGGAGACAGAAAGACCCCCGCCCTCTCCTCCCCCTCAAACATCCTCAAGTGCGCAAAGATGGAATTTTTACAGAGGCCTTTGGCCCCGTACTAGTCGTTGAGTATCTGCAGCTTCAACCGCGTCATGGTGCGCTGAAGGCGCGGTTGCGAGCCAATTCACGCCGTCCACCACAGCGTTTCATGGAACATAGGCGGGACTGCGTTGCGTGCGTCCGGAGGAGTTTGAACTCCTCATACTTGGTCTGCGATTCTGCGAGCTGAGCAAGAGCTCTTCTATCAGGCGGTGAAGGGTTGGTTATGAAGGTGATGGAGGTGATAATTAGTTCCATAGCCTGGTGCTGTATGTACAAGCAGATGTGGGTAGGAATAGCTCTAATTAATCCTGAACATTCTTCTGCTTTCTTTCCAAACAAGCGTTACTCCGTCGGAATAGAGAGGAATGGTAAGGAGGCGGCGCGTAGAGGAGGGCGCGTGTGTTTCCACCAACCAGAGGTGGCGCAAGATAGTTCGTGGCGGAAAAGGAAAGAAGACACCGCAGGTTGGTGTGAATAGCAAATACGGGAAGAAGAAACCTTCATGTTCAACCCAAGAGTCAAAGCAAAATGGTCCCGTAGGCCCCCCGTACAAAGTACAGGAGTGTTCAAATCTTCATAAGAAGAGGGTGTTCCAAGAACTATGATAAAATAACTCATACCGGAGCTGTAGCACACCTCGGCTGGACCGCTGCAGTACTACTGTCTGCCTCGTGGACCGTAATCACATAGAGACTCATCGTGACCCGGGTCGGAAGAACCGCCCGCCGATGGAGGGCACCATCCCGCAAGGAATGAGAGCATGACTAGACCTGATTCTGAACGTATTCAGGGTCTGAGTCCGCTACTATAAAACATTAGCAGACACTCTGGTGATACGTACGATATGGCAGCAGAGCTATCCGGGAAGGGACACAGTTGATGCTGTGATGTCGAGATGCCGAATTGTCATGGGCTCTGCTGCCTTTGCGAGGCGGGAATGAGGTTGGTAAAGATGTTAAAAATTGGGAGGAAAGGAATTGTAGGCTTTATAGAAGAGCAGAATTTGCGAATCACTCGCCCTAGTGGACTAGTGCAGCCCAAAATGACGCTAAACCGATGGCGGAGCAAATCGACCTCCGAATTGAGAGCCGCAAGCGCTAGCGCGAGTGATTTGCAATCACCTTCCCTGCTTCCACGTCCATAAATAAACAGCCACCGTGACTGCACTCTTCCCAAGATTTATTTCTCCGGTCTCCTATTTCCGAAACACCAACACCACATCATCTCATCACGATTCCCACCATCAATCCCATCACCATGAATCTTCCAGCATCCTCAAGCAGCCTTGAAGAGGAGAAGCCTACGATCGGAAAGTACTGGTTGGTCCAATCGGTCAAAAAACTCGCAGCCATTTACGATACTTACCCTGGCTGCAAATATGACAAAAAGGTCGATTCCCGACCCATCCTCGTACAACAACTGGTCCTGTTTGATACGGCCAGGGTAATTGCTTGGCTCAGTGAGCAAGCGGAGATTGCAGAGATGGGCGAAGAGGAGTTTGAGTCGACCACCAAGCTCTATCAAGCCGAGATTGATAAATCAAAGCTGGAGGTCAAAAAATGCTTTGAGTCCTACGTCAACACTACCATGGACGAATTGGCATTCGATGACGACACCTCTATCAAGCATATTCAGGCTTCTTATTCCTCCGCCAAGAGATCTGCTAAGGAGGAACATGCTCTCGATATCATGGCTGGTCGTGAGGTGGGCAAATGGAGTGGCGAAGAGGACGAGGCCTGGGGATATGTAAGAAAAACACTCTTTGTTCATTCATTATTCAAGCTGATATCAGAATAGGGTCGCGGAATAGTCCCCGGTCACCCTTTGTTTGAATACTTCCACGAAAAGTCCGTCAAGGTAAGCAGAGCGCCGTCTGGATTCTGTCTGCATTTGTACGGAGTTAACTCGACGTAGCGTGCGAGAGAAGAGACTAAGGAAGCCCCTGCTACAGAGGCGGAAGGCGAACGCAAGGTAAGCATTCTGCATTCCCATTCTTTCTTTGCCTAAGATGAATATGCGCAGCGCTGACCAGAAGTAGAAGCCATCGAGCCACCCTCAAGTGCGAATCACTGGGCCCCTCCTCGAGAATTTTGCCTTCCCGGCACGTCAGCAAAGAGTGCTTCCAAAGGCTACCTAGAGCTGCTCGTAGGATGGCGTTGAGTTTACATTCGGGATTTTTTGCGGGGTCTGATTTTCTGGGTTGAAGGCCATTTGCACTGGAGTCTGGAGGAACGTGGCGCCAAATACCCGCTATCAGACCAATGTCAAACGTATCAAAACACTCTAGCAATATCTCTCTGTGATTCTAATATCCACCTCCTTTTTCTGCCGAGTCTCGTACATAACCATTGACAAAACTGGGACGGGGCTACGAGCGAAAAGATCCGAAATGTCGTGCAACGAAAGAAGGAAATTGGTTTCCACGTCGCGACTACTTTGCTCATTCCACGAGTTCAGTTTTCCCAAATACAAGGGAATTTTTTTTTCCCAAGATACTTTTTCCTGATCCGCGCCAGCCTTGCGCATGCGTTTCAATTCCATTTCCATTTCAATTTCCACTTCAATTTCTATTCTTCTTTTCTTCTTCTTTTTTTCCTTCTTTTCTTCTTCTTTTCTTCTTCTTATTTCTTTTGCTTTGGGTTGTTGTTTGACGTTGAAAATTAAGCGAAAGTGGGACTCGAAGCCTGGGCATACAGTAGGATTCGAAGAACACTTTTCAAGATGCATGCAGGCAAATAAACCAAGCGCAAATCTACTCCTGACTTGGCAGACATGCGCTCGTAAGTATGGATTAGGGCTCGTCGTCCGAAAGTATGAAAAGCCCTCTCGCGCACGTGAGCGAGTGATATCTTAAAAATAGAAGCTCTGGGGAGATGCGCTTGCATGCGTCGTCTCCTGATACGCCTCCTGGCCGATCATTCATGTGTGTAGCTACGGAAGCACGGAAAATACAGTTTGTGTCAGTTGCTAGTAGGTGGTTATCAATTTTAGTTTTTATGGGAGAGTTGCGTCCACGGTTTTTGTGATATATATAGTAGCATATACCATGGTGCAGGCGGAAGTATTACCCCCTGAGGGTAGGGTAACCAGGGGGTTTAAAATGGAAATTGAACTTTTGAGGCACCCTCAAGGGGTAACAGTTACGCCTGTACCGTGGTAAGTGACCCTAAACTGATGTAATTTTTTATAGTTTACGAGTTTACGGGTTTACGGTCTCAGCATGGATCCACAAAACGCTCAATACAACACAGAATTAGTAGATAAGTGAGCCCAAAGCAGGAAGTTTTTCGTTTTTGTGATTCCACCATCAGAAGTTCCTGTCTTTTCCAATCTATTGAATACTCGATTTGGACAATATGAAATTCCTCACTCTCACCACTATCATTGCCAGCTGCTGGCTGCAAAATGTAGATGCTGTTAAGTGGTAATTTGCTCCGTCCTCCGATGCCCGAGAGAATGCTGAAAGAATAGGTACTCTTTGCGATGGCACAGTCCCAATAAATCAGCTCAATATCACAAGGTCCTTCCGTCCTATCAGTGTTCGTAGGAAGAGTATTGACGGAGAGATAGTTCAGCGTAGAAATGGTCGTGCCGCCACTCCGAAAGGCTGGAGTATACTATCTGTGGCCTGGTCTGCAAGACATTGACTACTCAGGAGTCTTCCAGGAAGTTTTGGACGGGAAATCGGGAACATGGTGGATCGGTTCCGGCTGGTGCTGCAGGTTCGTGGAGTTCTTCCCCATCACAGCCCCAACCTTTTCTCTCGTGGCCTCAGCCCACCCGGCTTCTGGAGGTTACTTTTTTATCGATGAAGCTAACACACTCTGTAGCAATCCAAGTCTTCCATGGGGCTCGGGCTTCGATGTAAGTTGGCAATTCGGACACTAAATGTCAAGCGCTTTCTGATGTGTTCAAAGGTAAGAACAGCGGAGAGACTCACCATCTCCAAAACTCGTGATACAGATAGTGAGAACTGGTCTTCCAGTATATCCTCTGGCTCAAAATCGGCCAAGAATTCTTTTCCTTTGGCATACAAGAATTTCAACCAGGTAGGTGCCTATAGGTAGTCCTCCCTTCAATCACGACCTACCAACAGCCCTCGCATATTGTGAAATGCGAAGCAGAAAGTGGTGTCACCGACTTCTAGCGAGGAGTAATTTGGATACGAAAACATGCTGATTGTGTTGATATGTCTAGGCAGTGCTAGCCATTGAACTCCACGGCGTGGACTGGGATTTTGGACCTCTGGTCTGGATTAACGTTGTCATGGTTAGTATCCAGCTTCCTGCAGGCCCTGCCTTGCAACCCGCTGATACAGATACCAGGTCATGAACACCACGGAAACTGCCTGGTGCACCAAGTAAGTAGCCCCAATCTTCAAGTGACCATCTCGAGAAATTTTTTTTCTTTCTGACCGGAGTGGATAGTCCGCCGGAAAACTATGACTCGACGACTAGATACACTATGGTTGATCCAAAGGCCACAACATCTGGAGGCCTAACAACCTGTACGATCGACCGGGTGGAGATGCAAGGGCCGGCTTAAGCTCTCGGAGTGATCAACTGATCAAGTGAAGGGGATGAGATGAGAGAAGGGCTGACGGTGGGTGGGAACTTGGATTCCGCCAATAGCGATTGGAAAAGCGATGAAGATACCCCTGGCGGCAGTTTCCTTGGAAGCTTATTGAGTTTGGTTGCTCCTATACTTAGGTATAGTTAGTTTATTGATAAACGAGAGTTACTCAAAAGTCAATAACCTTCGCCGGCGCCCCTCGACACTTCCCCCGCAATCCATCCATATCTGCACTTAGCCGTCTGGGAACAACCCGTAGCACAAATCGCCTCTGTTGGTAACCACCACGGAAGGAGAATATGGGGCTTACATTAGAGGTTCGTACGAACGAAATTGAAGGCAGTCGACCGAAATTTTCACTCGACTCTCAAGCAGTCAGAGCTGTTGTGGGCTAAATAGTAAGAACCATCGGAAGAAACCCGTCACTGCGCCCCCAGCCCCTGCCTAGTTGGCTGCATTAGAGGACCAGTTTCACTATTCTTCTTGCTGATTTTGCGAAGATACCTTGGCCTCAGCTTAAGCTAGATGGGTGTAAGGCGCTGAGGAGACTGGGAGAATTACGACAGTCAACTGTGGTATCATAGCGAGAACATAACCCGATTTTTATTTCTTTTGATAATAAACATGACATGGCTTACAATGCAGCAAGGTATCGCTTTGGGTATCTTTAGTACTTCTTTTCTCATCATCCACACCCATCATGAACCCTAAGCATTCCAGAATACCTGGCTAGTATCTGCGGTTTCCAGATTTTGAAATCCCGCCAGTACATCCTTGTCGACGTTGACTACCCAATCCCTCTGAAAGGCTTCCTCCCCTCCACTCAGAGCCACGACTCTGCTCAGCCTATCTTTCACGAACGCGAATGTGTTGATGGTGTGCACTGGGTCCTCGGCACTGTGCAGCCGTCTCCGCACGTCTTCTGGTCCTTCGTACTCGTTGCCTTCAGATGTCAACCAAATCAAGTTGTCTCCACCGTCGTCCCGGCCTCCAATCATCTCAGAGATGACAGATGTCCACATAGCGAAGTAGTCCTGCAAGCGCATGAGGATGATTGGCGTCACGGGGGGTTGAAGCTCCAGCAGACGGGTAAGTGCCAAGCAAGAAAGCTTTTGACGGTCGGCGTTAGCCATACTGTCGAAGTGACGAAACCATTCCTTGCTGAGCCATTCCCAGACTTCGTTAGCATTTCCAACCGAACTCATGATTGTGATAAGAACAGTAGGGTCAGCCATGGCAAGACGCGCAAGGATAGTAAAGTAGTCGGTCTCAACGACATCGTCTAGCTTGGGGTATTTTCGGCCAGGTCCAGTAGTTTCATGTGCTTCCCATGCATCACGGAGACCTGCGAAGAGCTGCTCGTTGTAGCCAGACTCGTGGAGATCTCTGGCGATTTGGACAACTCCATTAGCGCCTCCGAATTTCTCGGCGGCTCGAATCATGTTCTCCACAATGGTGGTGACAAGGCCAGCTAGCTCTCTTTTTTTGACGCCCAGGAGATTTTTCATATGGGATAGAACCCGCAGTCTTGCCTGATCGCCCAACATCGCCTCTGGAGCGAGAATGATATACGCGTCAATGATATTGAGGACACTGCGCAGATTATCCGAGCCGATTTCGAGGAGTGGAAATGCTGAATCAAGCAATGCCCAAACCTCAGGAGTCACAGGAGAGGGCGCCTGGGCCAGGACAACAATCCACAGTTCAAGAGCCTCTTCCATTAGGTAAATCTGCATCTCCGAGCCCGGTTCGACAGCTCGCTGAATCAAGGGGAGTATCATCGCATGGTATCTTTGAGCCTCCTCCTTCATAGCAGTCACGAGAGTCGACATGAGGGTCAGAATAGCCTGCTTGAGTAAATGTTCCTGGCCTGACGCCTCCCAAAGACCTGGAAGCATGGAGACAATCTGGTCTGCGAATGGAGAAATGTGGCTTTCCAATCGTACGGCGATCATTCTGATCGTGTCAAGGATCGCCATCTTGGTCTCAGTGTTCTCGACCTCTTGAATCAACGCCATCGTTCTGCCCAAGATATCTGGAGCATACGGAAGGAAGCTCTCGGCCGCAAAGCTAAAGTCATCAACGATTGCCTTGAATTGCTTCGCGGCTGTAATCCGGACAACATGGTCATTTGTCCTATCATCGGTATTTAGTAGATGCTGGAAGATTTGATAGACAAGTGGCCTATTCGCCTCGGATACTTTGACTGTGATCCATTGCCCAAGAAGGATGGCAATTCTTCGGCGCAATACTTTGTACCCAGCTCCGGCTTGTTGCACATCATGGACCAGAGTCGATGTCAAGAAGGAATCGAAGTCGAAGCTTAGGTGAACGACTGGGGCAGCAAGGCCCATTGCGGTGTAGACAGCATCCTTTGTAACCACAGAGCTCTGACTTGTACCTGCAACCGACTGGAAGAATGAAAGCAGGGGCTCGACCAAGAGGTGCTTGTAATTGATGACCAGGTCCATGAACAGCTTCTCAGCGCATGGCCGAACCTCGAATTCCCACGTATCACCACCACCTTCTTCTCTGATCTCCCACTCGTCCTCGTCTTCCTCCCATGCCTCTAGGTCGACTTGACGAAAGACGAAGAATTTCGTGACTATGACGCTTGCCATCTCAGTAACCAGTGCATCGGTCAATAGTCGAGACTTTATCAACGCAATGCCTTCATTTTGTTCTTGCTTGATTTCGTTGGTCCGGTATTTAAACGACCAGGAAGGACTGAAGACCATCTTGCAACATGCCCGTAGGATATTAAGGCCTTTCAGACAGAGCTTCTCGATGACCGGCCTCTGGTCCTTTGTTTGCTCGTCTTTCCTCAAAGCTTTGGCGCTGAAATCCTGTGTTTCTGACCCGTAAGATTCTCCGAATTTAGCTACCAAACCCCAGTAAGATCGTACCAACTCAATTGAGTTCGGTAATAAGGCGAACGCAGCCGGGTGTTGAAAAGACATTTGTGTATGGAGCTTTGAGAACTGTACCAAATGCTTCTCCACAAGTTCCTTGGCAGGAGATACTAGAAGTGGTGGCTCCCGGGAGATCATGTCGAGAAATTGACCAAATTGCATCTGAGAATGCTCCCATAGTTGCTGCACCTCGGTCGAGTGGTTGGGGTATTCATATCCAGCAATCAGCAGCCGCCGGAGGATCTTGATCGCGTACAAGCTGCTCTCCATAGCATCCATAGCCCCGCCTTCATCCTCTCCACTACCATTCAGAGATGCCACCCACAGGTCAACCTTTTGTTTATAAATTTCGCTCACCAAGAAGACCATCTCCGGTGTCACTGATTGTAACCGAGTTTGTGCAATTCGTAGTCGCGCCGTGGACAGCTCCTTCACCACCTGCAGCAATATCAACAGCCCTCTCCGTAGAGTCAGCTGATTCGTCTGGCTAGCATCTCGTAGAATCTTGATTAGGCTCGTGGGGACATCGGGCCAGTCATTAGGGTAGTCGATCCGAACGACCTTAGCCACGACCAGGGCATTTTGAAGAGCTAAGTTGTTCTCGGTCTCTCCGATTCCTCCCGCGATTAGATTCGAGCGGATCAGATCCTTTTCGTCTGCAGAAATTGCGTTCGTCGCTGTCTTCCGCCAGTACTTGTCGATGCCGTTCTTCAGCTGGATGATCGCGAGGTACCGAATCTCGGTAGGTAACGATTTGTCGAGGTAGACAACCTGCACCAGTCGTCAGCTGACAGGTGTATGGGATCGTGCGCTAGAAACTAAGACTGAAAACTTACCTGGAGCAGAGGATAGTAGCCCGGCTGCGTCTCCCAGGCCTGGAGTTGCTGTGTACCGGTCTGAATGCTAAGTTGCTGCGAAGAGCCCGCAGACTGCAGAGCCAAGTAAATCTGCTGTGGGGAGAGAGGGGCGGCCTCTCCAGGCACTTCGATAGCAAACGCCATGGCTGAGGCTATTCCCGAGATTTGTGGACGTTGTGTTGTATGTATTGTATGCGCGGCGAGATTTGTATCGGTGGTGGGGTTAAGTCGGGAAAACGTGCAGTGGTCCGTCCACAGGCTCGACTCGGTTGATAACGATTTTGACACCTTAACAGGGGTTCGACCCATCACGAATTGAAAGCTTAACAGAACGCTACCAATATGACCGAAATAGTACTTCCATACAATGGGCTACCCGACCGTCAACAAAGCGCTTCGCTTCGAAGGACTTCCCGGTTCAGATCTGAAAATCGTTGAGAAAGATGTACTCCCTCTACCTCCAAACCAGATCCTAGTCAAGGTCCATGCCGCATCAATCAATCCGTGTGATATCCAGCTATGGAGATCGGGCTTGGTAGCTGTCGTTGCAGGGGATAAAGGGATGGGAAAAGACTTCTCTGGGACAGTAGTATCAGTTGGAAAGAACGTGACCGGATGGGCGGAAGGAGACGAGATATACGGGTTACTATTTCACATTGTACTACCTATACTAATCCTGCTCTCTCCTCTATTCTGCCCTGGAACCTCTGCTTAAAGATGATGTCTATCTAGTTTGGTCAAGGGAGCTTCAGCGAATATATCAATGTCGACCCAGCGTCGGATCCGATAGCTAGGAAACCCGCTGCCTTGACCCACGAGGAGGCTGCTTCGATCCCTCTAGTTGCTCTGACCGCTTATGCTTGTCTCGAGTGGCTCCCAACTCCGTCGCCTACGCAGAGAAGGATTGTCGTTCGCGGGGCATCTGGAGGAACAGGCTCTTGGCTCGTCCAGCGTGAGTATGATTTCGTCGCTTCTTACTGTTTCCAAAGGAACATGGGGGCTTTTAAGAGACCATCAGCCGTTTGATGTTTCTAGCTCGGGATTCGAAGAATATCAGGCTCCTGAGTTCTCGTCTTGACTGACAGATTCAGTTGCCAAGGCCGTCTACGACTGCCATGTCACAGCAATATGCTCCAGCAAGAACTCTTCATACGTGGAGTCTCTCGGCGCCGATTTGGTGGTTGACTACACCACTCAAGACATCTCAACGGCCCTTATCACAAGTCTTTCCACTGACAAGAAATACGACTTGGTCGTCGATTGCGTTGGCGGTACTGAACTGATTCCCATCTATGTAGGTTGGCCCGCTCGTTCCCATCCACGTCCAATCTTTTTCATGCGTCGTGATATAATGTGAGCCACTTCTCACTGTTCACTGACCCGCTTCCAGGAACGACTTCTCCACCCTCTTGGCGCCTACCTGACCATAGTCGGCGACAAGAGCGACGTTCGAATCCTCGGCGGCCCCATCACTTACTTTACAAACCCAGCCCAAGTGATTCGCTACATAAAAGGCTATATCTGGGGTCCACGTTACGCATGTGTGTCCTTCGTAGAGAAGAGCGAGTATCTCCAGCAAATATCCCGACTCATCGAGACAGGCGAGCTGAAGGTTTCGAATATTGAGGTCTTGGAAGGGGCTTTTGACGAGCGAGAGGCGTGGAGAACGGCTGTTGAAGCTATGCAGAGTATGAGGGTTAGAGGGAAAGTGGTACTCGCTATCCCATGAGCTACTACGATTTCGTTTCGTTCGAAGAATATAGGTCATTTGCCTCCATTGGGTGGAGCTGGCTTTAGCATTGCGCACCGCGCATTTCTATTTAGGGCCGTTGTTGACAAACAACCGAGTTAGTTCGGCGCGGAGGCACTCCTCTCTTCATATCCGCATTTTCTATTGCTCCTATGGGCGTCAAACTCGGGTTCGTCTCATTTATTCACGATCATGCTCATCCAGTTTTTTATTTACATCCCCCTTCAACCCCATATTCAACTTCATACACTCCTCACCACCTGTCAGCTCAATTGGTTAGTAGCTACCCAATCAACCATCCTCCAAGAAGCTTATCTTTCCGTGAAAATGTATGAAGAGGCAGGAGCTTGAGATATACGGCTCTTACATAGCTGCAAGCGCGAGTTCTGGGTCAATTCCACATTGCATCCAAATTAAAAGGGACATCCACCACGGTCCCACTTACGCTCAGGAACTCGACGACCCCAAGGCCGGTGAGAGACCTGCTACCATTCTCAGACCTTCGGGTAGGAGGCCCTTTGCAACCAGGACGGCAAGAACTGTCGAGCTATGATGGAGTTGGTGGTCGAAGTCTGCGGTATAGAGCTGCGTTTGCGAGATTGAATGAATGCATGATTAATCAGCGACATTGCAAGCCAGATATTTGTCGCTCAAGTGGAATATGTAGAGCTGTTTTTTTGGACAGCGTAGGCGAAAGGGAATGGAAATAGAGAATGTTGGAAAGGGTTTTCTGTAGAAATTGTGATATACTTGTATGACATGTATGACATGAGGTTAAAATGAAGCTTTCACTTAGCGAAGGGGCAACGGAGCAAGCGGGACATGTACACAAAATACCGGTAGCAGGATTCTTACTAACACCCTTTCGAGACTCTGGAGAGGTTTTTTTTTGGGCCAGGAACGCAATGGTTTGTATGAATTAAAACGAGAATAAGATGCGGACTACCTATATGCGCCAAAATCATCCCTCTACTAGATGAGATGTTGCTCTTAAATCCGTATTAGGAATAGCGTCTATGATCGCCGGCTAACGATTTAGCTTCAACCTCGGCCTGGATCTCCACATGCCGACACGGACGCGTGAGGTCCCGGGAAGATCAGAAGGATCAATAGCAGATACCCAGGCGAGGTCGACGACGAAGTCCCATGCGACAACCATGGCCTCCAACGACTTCGCTCTCGCTCAGCAGCGCCTCGCAGCCCGGCGACAAGCACGAGAGACAGAAACCCAAGCCCGAATAGTAGCGCAGCAACAAGCTTCGCAGGCTTCAGAACAACTGAACCGACTGCCATACCCACTCGGCCGCCTCGGCCACGCAGGAATCTCGGTTTGGGACAGTATAAATGGGCGGGAGGGAACGAGGCCGGCGTTCAGGGTGGGCCAGGTTGATGCGGAGCTGCTGGACGAGGAATTGCTGGAGCTGTTGAAGGGGCAAGTGGGGGATGCATTGAAGTACTTCGGATCGCATTTGCAAGATGACTGGTCTGCGGAGATAATGCTCGCTCTGCGGGCGGTCCTGTTCAAAGTCACTGTTTGGGACCACGATGCGACGTACGGAGCTGCGCTACAGAATTTGAAGTTCACGGATGCGAGGAACAAGAGTGCAGTCCTGGTCTCCCCATCGAGGTGGCAGAAGTCTCTCTATGGCCTCTTTACAGTGGGAGGCAAGTACGCTTGGACAAGATGGGAGAACTGGCTCGTGGATAATGACAATGGCTACGACCGGCCAAGTCCTGCCCTGCGCAGGTTATCAAGATTATCGGAGTCTATATCAACAATACACTCTACGGCGGCCTTTGCTTCTTTCCTGGTTTTCCTTGTGAATGGGAGGTATCGAACTCTGCTCGACAGAATTCTGAGACTTCGTCTGGCTCCACCAACTAGCCAGGTCAGTCGAGAGGTATCATTCGAGTACTTGAATCGACAGTTAGTCTGGCATGCATTTACAGAATTCTTGCTGTTCGTCCTGCCTCTGGTGGGCATCAGCAGATGGAGAAGATGGCTCGGGAGAGCTTGGCGGAAGACAAAGTCTGTTATGCGCAGTGATGGCGACGACGATGTAGAGATCAAGAGCGGAGAGTTTGCCTTCTTACCAGAACGAACCTGTGCAATTTGCTACCAGGACCAGAACACAACATCAACATCTGAGGCTGAGGTGATTGCTGCCTCTGGTGCATCAGGGATCATAGGGTCCATCCAAACAGACATCACGAATCCTTACGAGACGATCCCTTGCGGATGCATATACTGCTTCGTTTGCTTGGCTGGTCGACTGGAGGCAGAAGATGGAGAAGGCTGGATTTGTCTGCGATGTGGAGAGGAAGTCAAGGAGTGCAAGCCCTGGAGCGGAGATGTTATCGAAGAAGTAAGCAAGCCTGCGAGCTCTTCGAAGACTGTGGGATTTTCTGCACCGAGTGAGGTGACCAACTTTGAGCCACTCCCACAAGATAACAGTGCCGAAACCCGAGAGCGTGAGGGCTCATCCTCCGAGGTCTCGGACCTGGGTGATTCGGAGGCCTTCGATGAGGAAGAAGACGGAGTGATTGACGACGATGAATGATGTTCAAGAGCTGCGGCCAACATAACTTGGTTTCGGTGTTTCTGATGGGGCCGGAGTGGCGAGGTGTTCGGAGTTTATATATGGATTAGATACCACTTTCCTGCAGTTGGACGAGATACTGAAGCAACCATTTCCTGCTTTAGACGCATGCGCTCCGCGTTGCTGTTAAGGTCAATGGAAAATCAGCTCCATCACCGACGAGAGTCGTCATGTGACTGGCTGGTGACTGGTGACATCATTAGGGGAATGGTACTACAGTAGATCCAGGCCGTGCATCGATATATATTTCTCTACATATCTCTGATGCCAATCTCTTGTCGACATCGACATCGAATCGACAGTTGTGCCGGAGAACACTACCTTCGTACAAGTCGCCGAGGTATTGTCGACGAGCTTCTTGCATTACATATTTGACAATGTGGGATCAGCTAGAGCCCACGGCTCCCCATGTCACTTACCTGACACTCTCTATGTTCTTGATAGTCTATGCTCTCTTCTCTCTGTTCATCAGAAACAGTCTCCATGTATCGGGTAAGCACCTTTGTCTATGAGAGCCAAAAGAGATATCATGATCGATCATCTAACACTCTTTGCAGAACCGCCCCTAGCAGTCTTGTATGGCATTATCCTCGGACCTCGCGTCCTGAATATCATCGCACCTCGGTACTGGGGTATGAATGACGAGATTCTTCAAGAATTCACCCGTGTCATTGTCGGCATCCAATGTTTTGCCGTGGGAATCGAGCTCCCGAAATTATACTTCAGGCGGCATTGGAAGTCAGTCCTCTACTTTCTGGGACCAGTCATGGCCTTCTCGTGGGCCATCACGGCCGCGTTTGCATACTTCATTTTCCAGTGTTCCATTCCGACCGCCATGATCATTGGAGCTTGCCTCTCACCGACGGATCCTGTCTTAGCAGCAAGTGTCCTCTCAGAGTCACGCTTCAGCGGGAGAGTACCAAAGCGGCTCAAGGACCTCTTATCCGCAGAGTCAGCCTGTAACGACGGAATCTCGTTCCCTTTCCTGTATATCGGCTTGGTGGCACTCAACTACTCCCACGATACAGGCGAAGCCTTTAAAGAGTGGTTTACGATCACGGTTCTGTGGCAATGTGCTTTCGGCGTCACGATAGGTCTCCTGATTGGCAATATTGCCAATAGAGTCCTGCGATTCTCAGAGTCAAGGAGCTACATCTCGAGGCCATCTTTCGTGGTATTCTACCTCCTCCTGGCCATTCTCGGTATCGGCGTTGGATCAACACTCGGCACCGACGACTTCCTGGTAGCATTTGGAGCAGGTGTGGGATTCGCACACGATGGCTGGTTCTCCAAAAAGACAAAGGAGACACCTTTCCCAACTATCATCGATTTGATCCTCAACAGCAGCATGTTTGTCTTCTTCGGGTCTATCATACCATGGCAGATGTTCAACCCTCGAACGATCACCCCTCACTGCGGAATCTGGCAACTCGTCCTGTTCCTCATCCTCGTCTTACTATTCCGACGCATCCCCATCGTGCTAGCAATGAAGCGCTTCATCCCCGATGTCCGAACATATCGCGAAGCGTTATTCTGCGGCCACTTCGGGCCCATGGGCGTTGGCGCACTGTTCCTTGCCATGGAAGCCAGAGCCGAGCTGGAGAACGGGACTTCGGTCCCGTGGGACAAGCCGAGGACTCCGATTCCGCCTTTCACTAGGAAGGACAAGGCGATCGAGTTGGTATGGCCTGTGATCTGCTTCGTGGTTCTTGGAAGCACGTTCGTGCATGGCTTGAGTACGGTAGGCATCAGTGTGGTCGGGCATTTCAGTCGTAACAAGAGCGAGAGATCGCCGCTTTTGGCTCAGGAGACGGACGGCCTTGATTCTATGATCCATGAAGGGGGTGGCGGTGAAAGCGAGCCGGATGTTAGTGGGAGTGAGGATGAGTATGATGCATGATGACATGGAGCCTTGGGCTATAGCAATTTCTGATAGAAAAACATTGTCATTCAACATATTCGGAATCATAAAATGGGGAAGGCGAATTTCTATTCGGCTCATTTTCACTTTCATTTTATTTTCCTCCGTATTATTAGTACGGCTATATTTTCGTATCCTTCGCTTGCAGTTGTCTTTTCCGCGCTCTATTTGTACAGCTAATTTTTTTTTCTACTCTATGCGTGCAGCTTTTCGCGCTAGTTTCTTAGATTCGTCAGTCGATTAATTTTTCTTTTTATATATTTATATCAGCGGCCCGAACACTTCCAAGAGGTCAAGGCAGAGATGAATCAAAGTCTTAGCACTTTGATAAACCTGCAAGAAGAGTGTAGAATAGACTCAGGTACATCTCATTATTCTAATATCCTTTGCATCAAGATATTTTAGAGTCATCGTAGGTGATAATGAATGGAATAACTCCGCATGGCCACGACAGCAGTATGAGTGAGTTCTTGGAGGCATAGTATCTGTATCTCGCAAAGCAACTAGCACAGGTGGTGGACGCAGTGCGACTCGGGATTCTCACCCGTACTATATGCATGCTCCTTTTATCGCCAAGTATTGCATGGTTTCAGCCCCGCGGAGATGAGTATAACAGCACTGTGTCAGGATAAGCCTTTAATATCCTCACTTGAATTTATTCTTGAGCGCGGAAAATCTTGTCTCGATGCGGTAAGGCAATATGGTGTTGCACCTCGCTTCCTAGCTGGGGAGGTGGTATGTTTGTTTGTTTTCTTCAGGTCGCTTGAGGCTTAGCTATGGATTTGTACGGTTGATTGGCGGTTGGTAGATGGAAGTGCATCGGCGATTTCAAGTACTGTGCAGTCTTAGATGCAAACCTGCTGATATATTTTTGTAATATACGACGGGTACACTGTAGGTGTGAAGGATTTCGGGCGCTAGTGTGTCTATTCATCCTCTTTCTTTCCAAGCAGCAGAGCAGATAGGTGATACTATCCACCACACACATTTCAATATGTAATATTTTGAACGATAATCCTCCGAGAAATCACAGTCACAAAATTCGTGGTGTACGTATTTTCTGACCTCTTGAACTTCTACCTAAAATCTCCCGCTTTTATATCGCTCTCCATCCGCTATCAAATATCGGACGTCGATACCAAGGATAAGGCGACCAGTTGTCAGGAGGCTCCCCCTCGCTAAGCGGCTTCCGATTCGAGTACAACGTAGAAACATCCAGCCTCGGTCTACTCGAAGGCGGCGTCGACGGTCTCAAGTAGTACTGACTCTGCCTAATCTGCTCCACGCTCTCGTACCGCTGCTCCCTATCCACGCGTTCGATCCTCGCCCGGCGCCACCTCTCCCACTCGCGCGCCACCTCCGCCGCATCTCTCAGTCCCAGACCGGCGAAGCATTGCTCTCCCAAGCGCTGCAGGCAGTATTGTCGAAGCGGGCTGTCGCTCCTGGTTCGCGCCCATATCCTCTGGAGTTCGGACACAGAGAGAGCCAGGGGCGCACGGTACGACGTCAGGACTGCCGTGGCGGCGGCGTGGAATTCGGCGGCTTGGATCTTCTCTGCGAGGAGACAGACCTCGATCCAGGTCTTCGCGGATACGTGGTGCTTGCACTTGCCCAGGCGTCGGCGGCGGTGGTTCTTGGCGTAGAGCCAGCTCACGAACATGGCGAAGGCGACACGACAAGTGTCCTGCACGGTGATGGTATTAGTACGAGCGGGCTTCTTGGCCGAGAGGCTGATTTTTGAGGCGAGGAAGGGGGATATGTTGCATGTTATCATCTGGTGGATGATGAAAGTCTTGGTCGAGCTGCCTTTGACGACGGTGATGGCTACGAGGAGTTCGTTGGGATCGACGACAGGGGGATCGGGGTCGATGCTCGGGTCTATTTCGAGTCTTTTTGGGGTCTCTTCGTCGATCTCAAGGAGTTGGGTCCGTTCAGTGGCTGCTTGCGAAGCATCTAGCGTGAGAGACGACTGCAGCATATTTGCAAACACCAATTTCGCCCTGAATATATGACAAGATATTCTTCTGTTAGAAGCCAAACTAAAGTCTTCGGCCATCCGAGAGCCTCGGCATAAATAAGGAGACTTACCACATTTAGGCTCGACTGGTGCTCTTTGTGTGTAGTTGTATCAGCCATGATGAGCCCGCCTCTCACCCGAAACAAGTTATTGATAGAGGCATTGTCTTTTTTTCAAATCAAGTTTCATCTTTCACCACCGTCTGATACATTCTGCTTCGTGAGTTCCCATGCCAGAGAGGGAATTACCAGCAAGCTCTCTCCGCCCTCTAGGCAACTGAGCTACGAGTACTCCTGGCAAATATCTCTTCACAGTACAGTACTCATCAGCTAAAAGTAATCATCAGCCACTCAACGCCCTCTGCTAGAAGATGTGGTATGTTGCATAAATAGATAGACTTTTGCTCTTGAAATATTCTATGGCTTCTCTAGTCTTCGCTTCCAGCTGCAATCCCCTCCAAGCCAGCCTTCCTTCCACAGTCCAACCAGCCCTGTATTTCCGTTAAGCGAAGGACATGCTCACTTCAGATCCCATTATCGATCATGACCGCGATCGATATCTCGGAGAGATCTCTCTTGGTAAATCTGTGGCTGTATGCCCAGTCATACGAAGACTCCAGTTGCTCGCTCGGATTCCGTTGCTGCGATGGAAGGACTTTTCTGATCTTGAAATCTTAAGCGAGCTGGAATTCTGGTTAAGGACAACGTCATCTTTTCATGCCATCGTACAGCAGCCTCTTTTCTCCCAGTCATTGGATTTGAGCTCAAGTTCAAGCAAAGCGCTCGATTCAGAAGCCATGACTCTGACTGACTGCAAGCTGGGATGATTTAACATATTACTACTGACTGAAACAAGATAGGCAGTCTGTCTACCTATCAGTCTTACCTTGAAGCCAGTGTTGTATGTATCAGCACCTTCACGATACCAGCCAACCACTCAACCGAACCGGTATCAGCAGGTTTATAGCCACCATATCGATATATGTCTATCTCATCCAAGCCTCTATAAGAATCCTTAGCAAAGCAAAACAAAGCAAAGCAAAGCAACACAAAAAGCCACCACCACCACCCTCCAATTCAGCAAGCTCACCACCACAACACCCAAGAACCCAACTCCTCAAAAGGCAAAGCATACATACCATGCAGCTATCATAAGACAAAGAAGAAAAATACGCATCGAAATCAGACCCCGCTGCAAAGACTGCTTGCTTGCTCGTACACAGCGCACCACGACCTCCCTTTGCGAATTCCGAGGCTTCCAAGAGAAAGGCAAGATGAACTAGCTCGTCTCATAAAAGGGTACGTACGACAACAGGGAAATGCAAAGGACTGGCAGGTAGAGATCCGCAAGAGGCCAACTGACACGGATTGAATGATAGGGAGCGGCTATACATAATTGTCAGGCGAGGATTAGTCCTCTTCGATCTCTCTGTGTGTGGGAGAGAGGGAGGGAGGCTCAAATAACTTGGTTATAACAGACAGGACAAAGGCGGAGCCTATAGGCTATAAGGTATATTAAGAAAAAGCAAAAGCAAAAAGTAAAAGTAAAAGAGAGCGCTATTAAGACGGTGTTAAAGTAGAATAGAAGTAGATGACGGATTAATGACAGTCAGTCAGTCCCTTTTCTATCTCTTGGATATACATAGCAGAGATGTATGTCGTGCCTTACTTAGCTCATATCGTATCATCTCGAATGCTACCAAAACTACAGACAAAAAATGCATATTCGGGAAAAGAGTCATGGGTTTCAAATTCTCTTTGCAGGTTAGAAATAACGGTATGTATGTATGAACTTGAAAGCCAGCAGAGAGAGCACTGCTTGGATTCTGGATCTCTCTGGCTAGCATAGTCGTTACATACCAGGACCATAAACCTGAAGGTAGCTAGCTTCATTGAGAATATAGAATAGAGTAGAATCCTCGCTTGAGAACCAGAACAAAATCTAGAAAAAGCGGGCCGAAGATTCAGACATGGAAGAAGAAAGACAAGTGTGAGTGAGACTTCTCGCAGCACACCCAGGCCTCTTTGAAAAGAAGGCAAAAAAAAAAAAAAAAAAAAAAAGCTCTCCCCGTTTCCGAAAACCTGCCCTCCCAGACAGCGGCGAAACTCTATCTCCTTTGAAGTAAGTGTCTCATGGGGATGGATTGGTTCCAGGATCCGATTTCATTCATTCCTACCTACCTATACCGCCAAATAATATCCAAAAAAAAAAAGATCATCGCCATGCACCCCCCCGTCTCAACACCAGCTCGGTGCAAACGCAAAGGCAGACCGCAAACGCAAACGCAAACGCAAACGCCTCCTTCACCACAAGCTTTCCACTCCCACCAAACAACAAACACACACACACACACACACACAAACCACCCATCGGCCAGCAAGCCCAAAGGCAGAAACACACAGGCAGACAACCATACCCAGCCGAAGAAGACCCATCACATATCACAGATCACAGCACCTATCGAACCACCACCACCACCGACCAAACAAGAAACCATGTGCGTCGAGCAAGACATCTACATCCACCCCACTAAACGCCCCTCCCCATTTTCCCCCACCACCAAAATCATCACCGGCACAGCCATCGCCATCTGCCCAGACCACAAGGCAGCCATGTACAACAAAAACGACGACGACGAAAACGGCAGCAGCAGCACGGTGCGGGACTGTAAGAAGTACTGCTTGTTGCCGAGCAAGAGCGAGGATAGTAGGGAGTAAGTAAACGTAAAAGCAAAAGTAGAAGTCAGAATAGAAGTAGGAGAAGCAGAAGAAGGAGGAGTGGGGTGAAGAGAGATCATTGCTGACCTTGACGTTGTTGCTGGTAGGGGAAAGAAGGAGAAGAAGAAGAAGGAGAAAGAGAAGGAGAGAGGAGGACATGGCGGTGGACGAGGTTGGCCCTTTTGAAGGAAGGAGAGAGAGAAGAGAAGGGAAGAGAAGAGAAGAGAAGAGAAGAGAAGAAAGGATGTGGATGGCAAGAGGATGGCGAGGAGGAGGAGGGTGAGGTATGTTTGGGACGTGGATAGTTGAGGTGATGTGTTGAAGGCTGATTGTTTTGTGTGAAGCGAGTCCGAGGATATACGAACGGAGATGATAGCGCTGTCCCCTTGGAGTAGTGACTTGACACACAGCACTTGCTGCAGTTCCTACCTGCTGCACATGACTAGGCCGTTAGTATGAGGGCTACGCATGGAAACCAGGCACTCACGTATCGGCATCAAAATAAAGATAAAAGCCCCTGATTCCTTCCTTCCTTCATATCGTCTCACATGGTATCTACTAACTGAGTATGCAACCCCCGAGCGCCCGCAAACCAGAAAATGCATTTCCAAATCTATCCAACCCTGCTTAGGTCACGTCACAACTATGTTGCCCACCACCAGCCCCTGACTCTCCACGTGGTATCTCCTCCTCAAGCCCACGCTCCGACTCCTCCTGAGCATATCTTCGGTGGTCTCACCGCCACCAACCATCAGCATGGATATCTGATGGTGTCTCACCAGCCCGCTCGGCGTAACCTGCGCTTTATCCAAAAGCGGGCGGACAAGACGAGACCCACTTCTCCTGGAATACCCATCTATATCCTCTTCGTCCCCTTCCAGGCCCGAAATCACTATGACAAGCTGGACGCTCTGTTTGGTAGGCACGAAGCTAGGAATGTTGGCAAGCTTCTCGGAAAATGTGCACCCGCCGCGACGCATCACGATGATGTCGTGTTTCCTGGCTGCGTCGTCTGGAAGCTTACTGGTACATGCTTCTCCGGCAAAGTAGATTCTGGACCAGCTAAGTGGCTCGGATGGGGAGCCTTGGTTTGGGTCAGGCGCATCTGCAACATCTGTCATGGGAGCAGCACCCAAGCCAGTGGGAGCAATGGCGGCGACGGGTAGAAGTTGGTATGTTGGCGGCAGTGGAGGCTCAGGGAGCACAGTTGCCCCTGGTTCGCGAAGTGCCGAAGTCACCTGTCGAAGCAGCGAGCTGATCATGGTTCTGTACTCGGCAGCGATGCCAGCGGTACTGGAATCGTCGAAAGAGACTTTGGAAGATTCATCGCAGACATCGAGTTCTGATTCGGCGTCGTAAAATTCCTCAACACTGCCGGCATCACTGGTGTTGACGGAGGTGGGGTTTTCAATTTGGATAATCAGGTCGGCCGTGACCGAGTCTCGAATGCGTGTAAACGATGGATCGTTCATCTCGCCGACAATCTCGCGTGAGATAAAGATTTGCTCGTCGCGGCCCAGTGGCATATTGGCGATACTCCATACCCGCCAGGATTCCATGAGAGGCCCATCGGTCGATGTGAAAGGAGAAGGAGATTCGTATACCATACCTATCTTCAGTCCGGACAGACTCTTGACAAGGATCCCTTCATTGAGACGGACAAGTCCTTGAGGACCAAGAACGAGAAAGTTTGAGCCGGCTCCTGCAGTGGCTGCTGGTGTGTTGACCGGAAATTCGATAGAAAAAGTTTGCTTCAATGGTAACTTGGCGCACACTCCGTCATTTGGCATGAGAGAATCAGGGAGCGTCCACGGATAATGTGTATGGTTCGAGGTAGCCACAGTTCCTCTCATCTCACCAAAATCGTCTGTTGTACGCTCATTGGGTATCAGATGTAACCCTATTAGACTGGCCGCATGGAATATGTCAGGCCTTGCTGCTGTTGCGGAGATTGTGAAAGGAACTGTAGCCGGGGCTACCGGGCACGTATCTCTCTCATTGAGGTCTTGGTACTGCTCAACAGCTCTGGTCGGAGCCATCTCCCTCTTGACAACTCTTGGTCCCTTCTTTTTTGGAATAATTAACGGATGACCTTCGGTTGTGAAGACATAGGCTGCGTCGAGAGAGTTCAGAGGATGGTCGGTGTCAAACAGAAGATAGAGATACTTCGCCGTCTCTCCGAGGAAGAAGCTTTCCATACGATCATTTTTCTCTCCTGTCCTTACGTCTTGAAGACCGGACCAACCACACTTCGTCCAGCACCGACGCTTGATATCCGCAAGTACCATCTCGCCAACATGAAGATACCAAGGGTCTTTCGTAGCTCTGTATAGATGGTAATTTGACTCGATGAACTCTGGTCGTCCTGGCCACCAGCCTAGACCCCCTTCTACTTGGCCGTCTCTCACTGACCATCTTTCTGGCAACGCTGCGTAGCGAGTCCACAAAGCAGTATAGAGTAGGTTGGTCGAAATTGCCTCTTCTACTTCGCCAGCTAGCGTCAAGAGTCCAGGGTAATATGCACCCAGACTATCTATCCAGTAGGCTTGTGGTGATCCCGTAGCCAAGTGGACATTGACATAATGGGGATGATGAGTACCACTGTACAGATGCCTTTTGATAGCAGCATGTGCTTCTTGCCAAGCTGCCAGAAATGCCTGGGAGGAATTCTCTTCCGTGCTCAAAGGGGTGTAGATAGAATTTGGATCTAGCCATGACCGGTTTGGCTCTTTGAGGGGAACTGTCAGATTCGGTTGCTCATGCCCAGAAAGCAAGATATGTGTCTTCAGAGCATATTCGAAGAAGCTGTCAGCCCCAGCACCAATACCCGCATATGGTCCAATCCAATGACCTTTCTCGGCATCGACACCCGCCCCAATCAGTCCAATGGTGCTCCTCCTCGCCCAGACGGCCCAGAATGCTCGTTTCCCCAGCTGTTCGAACCTTGGATCTCCAGTCAGGCGGCTTAGAACCGTAAATTCTAGCACCAGGCTACCAGCCCCTGCACTGCAGGTCTCCGTTATCTCTGGCCCACCTTCGTGAATATAGTCGTCCTGATCGGAGTCCTGGTTTAAGGGAGAGTTCAGGTAGAACGGAATTCCGTGTCGTAAATTTACCCTAGGGTATGGCATACCAGTTGCAGTATAGAATGCAGGTAATAGACGCTCTGCAAGATCCAAAGCCAGTCGAAGCAGCTGGCCATTGTACTGAAATCCGTTCGGCCATACAATAGCTGGTATCTCCCCCTTCTGCAACTTGCGCTTCGGCCCAGCCGCCATACGAGGTTTGTACCCCGTTATCGGCAACTCCCCCGCAGCAAACAGGTGCGCGCTCACCAATCCGCCGACCCCCCGTATTACCGTCTCAAAGACCTGGACCTTGCTATCAACGTCAAACCCCCGCGCCCGGAGCCCTTGTCCAGAGGTCCCGCTCGTACCGTCCCCATACTGCAATACCAACGCCGCCACGCCGTTCTGGAAATCCCGCAGAGCCTTCTCTCCAGTGCCCGCTCGATCCGGAGGGGCAGAAGCCAGTATCGCCAGGGTCGAGAGACTGTCGATCAGTGTGAGGGAGTAGTTGCCCAGAACATCATTCAGCTCAACGTTCCGCGGATTCCGGGAGTCTCGAGTCAGAGGAATGCAGGATAACGGTCGGAGCTTCAAGATTGTCAGTACAGGTGCCAGACTCGCACTGAAAATGAAGCAGCATACCTCGTCCTCCGGGAACGCAATGTTCATGTAGTTGTCGAATCCGTGATAGAACATCTCCACCGTCTCCTGTCGCAACTCGGCGATTCGTGCTGCCGACATGGCACTAGCCACTGCCAGCCACATGGAAAAGATCCCCAGGGGAATCCATCTGGACTGTGGACTACCCATAGGGCGCGAGCTCCAGGAGACGCTGGGAAGACACGGCCATCGCAATGGCATCACCGATGTGTTTATCTGGCGGAAGGCATGTGAGCTTGGTCCAATGCACGATCACCACAGCAAGGGGATAGAAGTGGCCTGGCTACTGAGGTCGTATGTATGTATAAGTTCGCTGGTCGCAAAAGCGTGAGTTGCGGAGGTTGTGGTGATCTTGATCCTGATCCTGAGAATGATAATCATCCAAACATCCAACAGGGAAAGACACAATGTCATCAACGGTGCACGTGCACTCCACCATCCACCCATCCACCCATCCACCCCGTCCGAACTTACCTTGTACCAGAGCACATAGTGATGAGGTGAATCTTTAGCCGTGCGCCAATAAGGCAAGCTGTCGGCTACTCGCCGTCTCAGGTTCCGAAACAAGTCGGACAGGTCTCCTCCTCGGTATTTCTAACAATAACAACAGAGACTTCGGATAGCTACCAGCTTGCTAATTGCAATCAAGTAATTGATGCATCATCCCACCCTGAAATTTCTCTTTTGGAGACCTGGGTAATACCGGTACTTCAAACGCCTTACCCATATCCCTAACCCTATCCCTGTCCCTATCCCCATCAATCGCCCCGGAGCGCATTTCACTCCAATTGTTGACTTATCGCTTAGCTCCCAAAACATGGGATCGGGGGTTACAGTCATGATCATTAATTATCCCATTCCACCGCCGAGAGTTACCTAAGCCCCCGGATAAAATCTACGGATGGCAATTTAATCATCTGCATCTAGGTATCTATCGAAAAGCAAGCATCGAATAAGATCGCATCCTCACCATCCCAATTGATATCCGTGTCTACCTTCCTCATATATCCACGTCTAGCAAGCAACGCATTGTCGTCCAATAGCCCACTAGTGCTTCCTGCTATTACATGCCCAGATCTTGTTATTGCATATATGTACACACACACACATATATGTATCTACCATCCTTTTTATTAAACTAATGACTATATTCAATGAATGAAAGGAAAAGAAAGGAATATGTACAAAATCAAAATCAAAATTATAAATAAAATGAAATGAAATCAGGAAAAAAATATTGCAGATGTAGATGCAGATGCAGATGCAAATGCAGACGTGAAATCTCCCAAACAGAAACGCGATCCAACCAGCCCCCCCTTTAAAAAAAAGCCTCCTCGTGCCATATAATCTCCTCTTTCAAAAGGGTACCATGCGTCACATGATTATTGTTCTCAAATAAATAACTTGTCTGGAGGAGACATAAAAGAAAAAGAATTCCGTATCCTAATATATCCACGCCTTACGTCCGTAAACCGTGGTTCTGCTGGTTCTGCACTTGCGCGTGGAACCGCAACTACTGCTGCTGCCGCTGTCGCTGGTACGCCTGCTGCACCTGCTGCACTTGTACGTTGTCTCGGTGGCGCTGTTGATCGTACATCTGCTGCTGCTGCTGCTGCTGTTGCTGCTGGCGGACCGTAGCGTCCTGATACTGTTGTTGGCTCCTCTGCATCTGCATCTGAGCGCTACCACCACCACCAGCCGTAGTGGTACTCCCGCCGGCTCGCGGATACCGCGCAGGGCCGTCCACCATCGACGCGGCAGAAAAGGCTGCAGCGAGGGACGTCCTGGAATCCCCTCCGTCGTTGAATATGCTTCCGTCACTACTACTGTTGTTGTTATTGTTATTGTTGTTATTGTGATTAATGTTGGCCGCAACACCCAGCTGATCCGCATCAGACCACGATGCACACGTTCGCTCCCCCTCCCCCTCGCGACGCAGCTGCGTGTCAGGAGGAAGAAGGAGGAAATCAGGCGGCGGCGGCGGCGGCGGCAGGATAGTGATATTCTCCTGCTTGAATATCCTTGAATTGTGCTGCTGCTGCTGCATCAGCTCAGTCCACTTGCTGCGCAAGGTTTCGATCGACCACTTCGCCTTGCCGCCGTGCCGGTGCATTCCTTTGGCGATTAGCGGCCACTGGCCGGACTTGTGCTCTTGGCAGGAGAGGATCAGAGCTCGTTCCTGTTGGATAAGGGACGTCAGTATCAGCACGGGAGTCAAGTTGGATGGTGTAGATAGCCCAGCCAACCTGGTGATGGTGTTTTCGTACCTCCGTCGCAGTCCACTCCGTGAGTCGATCCACCAACCTCTTCCTCCGCATCTGCAGAGTCGCCTCCTTGACTACTTTCTGCGGGAAGACCTCGTTGTACCTCGCCGTGATCTGCTTCCACGGAACCTGGTCGCGCATAGACCATTTGAGCAGAAAGCGCTCTTGCTCGGTGAGCTCGCGGCACGCTACCAGCTCCTCGTACTGCCCTGGTGAAGATTTCCTTTTGGGGCTACTCTTCTTTCTGCTCTTGGCAGATTTGGAGGATGAGCCTTCTCTGACGAAATTCCCTTGCTCTGGCTTGTACGTCCGGTATTTGGCGGTGTTGGACTCATACGAGGAACTCAGGTGGTGGTCCTTCGCTCCTCCGCCCAGCTTGGGCGCAGCTCTGCGAGGAGATGGGTTTGGGGTGATCAGAACTGGCGGGCTCGAAGGGCTGGGCGCGATAAGAGTCGGGGCTTGGCTGCCTGGGTATGTGAAGTCCGAGTGACTCGGGATTGGAGTGTGGTTGCAGGACTGGTAGCGACCATTACGATAGTCTTGACTTCCCGCCGATGAAGGCATGTTTGGGCTGGGGTTGAACGTTGAGGGCGAGACGGATGTCCCAGCCGAGTACGGGGTGGCAGAGACACCAAAATTTCCGTAGTAAGGCGATGAACACACGAGAGGGGAGCCCGGCGGGAAGAAGTGGTCCACGGTTGAGAAGGAGATATGACCCGAGTACTCTTTGTACTTCATCGGAGGGTTGTATTCTGAGTCGTAGTCGTCATGTGAACTCGCCATATGACTTGAAGACGGTGATTGAGGGGACAGCATGATATCAGGACTTCTCATGGCAGGATCACGCTTCACATGCAATGATGGGGAGCTATGCATGGAGACGGGTGTAATGAGGGATGGATCGTAACGGAGAGGTAGGTTGAACGAGGAGACCTAAGCAAGGGAGTCAGACATGTATTGATATTTGAACGGTATTTGGCGACGCCGTACCGTACTGACGGCACTGTAGGGAGTAAAGTCTGGTGCTTGTGTTCGTCCCAAATTGACGAGATACAGGTTTTCTTCAGGACCCGTGGACGGATATGTTCTCGTCATTGCATGCACGGATCAAGCCAAATTCGTTGTTGATTTAAGGTGCAAGAAATAGCAGCGCAATTCCCGTGAAAGAGGGTTGCCCAAACTTGAAATGATGATCTCTGAACGGCAAGTACTTGGTTCTACTCAAGGTTGTCAAGCTAGACAGCACCTTGATGCGTTGAGAAAGCTATATAAGAACAAAAGCAGAGCTAGTATGCCTCACGCCTCTGAAGTCCAAGGCAAGGGTGCCACAGGAGAGCCTCGCTGCCAGGGCAATGTTCTATATCCCGGCAGAGAAGAGAACCCTGGATGAAAGCGGCACAGTAGGTAGCAAGGGCCAATTGGCCGCCGCAGACAGACCAGAGGTGTGTAGTAGTTCGTGATGGCTGCGTCAAATCTGTGGGAAAGAAAGGGAAATGCACACGCACAGTAGCCGCCGAAAGACCGGGGCACGCGATTATACGGCACTTGGAGCTGGCTGATAAAGGCCGCGATTCGATAACATCCCCTCTAGTCGTGGTGGAGAGTTCATGTACGAGTGTTCTGTCTGTGGGTCAGGGTCAACTACTTCGGTGAGGGTACTCATCCACCTGGAGCAAGATCTGTCGAAGACGACGAAGGGCAAGGGTCTCTCCTCACCGGGCCGACGGCTTGACTACTACTATTCGAGAGCTTCTTATTTGGCAGGAAGGTTAGGCAGAGCTCAGCCGCCGCGGGATTACAGATAGTAAGAAATCTCGAGTTATGGCCGAAGTTCTTCATCGGTAGGTAGCCACAACACAGGCGAGCCGCGAGAAAGGTGATCATGATAAGAGAAAGGAAGAGCCTGAGAGTGGTGTGGTGTGGCGTGGCATGGGTGCGTTCCATGGCCCCAAGGGAGGAACTCAGACCGGGCCATCTCGACCGATGTTTTCCTCTCTCCCCCTTTCTCTCTTTCTCGCTTCCTCTCTCGCTTCCGCTCTACATCCGGATACATCCATCTTTTTCTGCAGCGGGACGTTCGAGTACGGGATCAGCCTTGTTACTTACTGGGCCGGGGTGCGATGATGGTCCGCCGACCGGCAAGTGGATTCGGGGGTGGTTCCACCCGCAGCAGGGCTCGCCATGACCGCGAGATGGTCTCCTACCCCATGTAGAAGTCACCCAGGTGGATCCGGATGAGGTCAGATACTCTTCGGAGTGGCATTGCGCTTCGATGCCCATCTCCGTGTCCATATTCACATCCATATCCACATCCACACCCATGACCATGTCTGTGGTGTGCTTCCTCGTAACGTGATTGATGCATACTTGCGCCACGAACCCGAGGAGCTGGGTGCGCCAACCGCTTGCGTCCCTCGACCGGATCGGTACCAGACTGTCGGGAGAGACGAGCAGGGCCTCTGCAGCTTCTGCCGAATCAGGGGCCATGGCAGTGGACGAGCCAGGTTCTGTGTGGACGGAGGGCACAGTAGATGATGTCTCGTAACCGCGCGACTTCGGTGTGCCTCTTGCTGCGTGTGCGTGTGCGTGTGCTCAAAGCGTATTAGTCGACGGCCAACCGAGCCAAGTCGCGCCAACGTGCAGACTGACGCGACACTTCAATCCATCATCCCCTCCTGGTGGCCGGTTTAGGCGAGGTGCCGCCGTTATACCACTCCCAGCACGAACGGCTGCGTTGGGGAACAGATGCAGCAGCAAAGCATACAAGGCTTCTTTAAGCGCCAGCCGCTCGTCGACAAATAATTCTCTCGACGACTCGCCCGTTTTCGGGCTCACTGTCATCGTAAACAAGACTTGATTTTTCGGTAAGACGACGTGTAATGAACTCTGGCAATAGACCCCGGCCAATACTGGATCTCTTTAGCCCATCGCCCCTGACTCTTCTTTTCTTCACAGGGCCCTCCACCCCTCGCTTAGCCCGGATGAAGTCAGTCAGTCAGTCAGACTGTGATCTTTTCCGCATTGTTTTGCAGGAGTGATTCCTCGGTGAATGATTTCGCATATCTCTGCGGCATGCCCAGCGCTTTCCTGCCAGATCAATCTGATCCGCCGACGAGGGTCTTTCAGCACTTTCACACAATTCACATCCCAATACAGAAATGCTCCGGTTTCATCGAGACATCACCCAGTGCCTGCCGAAGTTCTACCCCTAGGAGAAGCGCTTTTTGACGCCGATCATGTGGCACGACGGCGGCTATCGCATCTGTATTGACTTTGTGATATCCTGTCAGGGAGATCAGATGACCCCCATGTACTCAATAAATGAACGAGTCGGACGGACGATGGCGGCGGACAATAGGCCGATAGAGCGATGAACCATCTAGATCCTGGGCTGGGTACTCAGTCAGCGATCTTGACCCACATACGAATGAATCAAGAAGGACTTTCTCCGTAGTTGACGCGACAGGACGCTGAAGCCCTGCTCCCTGCTCCAGGGAACAACAACAGGCCTCAATTGGAGGGCGGGCGAAGGAGAAAAAACGGGTCGTCGGGGGGCATCCGAGATGGACAGAGGAGGGGGAGGGGAGGGAGAGAGGAGGAGGAGGAGGAGGAGGCTGAGGCCGAGGCCGAGGCACGGGATGTGAACACACGAATGAACGAACGGTGGTGACTAATCAAAAACTCGGCACGTGTTTGAGACGACTAACGACTCGCAACTCGAGTCCAAATCATCATCGGCCATGTCACGTTGTAAAACAAACTTCCCGCACAGCTTCGACGGCTCTTCAGAATCGAATACTACAAGAGCTTCGTTTGTGATATGTCACCAGACCATTTCCTGTACCGACGGCCGAGTAAAGTGCCCACCGTCAAGACAAGGACAAGGAGCGCCTGGGAGATCAGCATCCGCTTGCGTGTATTGACAATTTGACACCACCGATGGCCACTTACTTATACAGGCATCTAGGGGCGACGGCTCGACGATGGCGTAGTGACGAGTCGAACGAGGGATTACTCATGCCACCGGAGCATGGGACCATCCCTGAGCGAAGCTGTATCACCTTGCGTCCGTGATCGATGATCGACAACGGCGGTGGTGCTACACAAGATCTACGCAGAGACCTTGACCATGACCATGACCATGAACATGACGGTGGTGAACATCCACCACATCCATATCCACATCTACACCGGCCACGCTGAGTGTGTCGTCCAGCAGAAGGCCGACATGATGATGATGGTCAGGCTGATTTCGCAAAGATGCGTGGGTTGGGGGCTGCCAGGCCGTCGACGTGCACTCTGGCGCTTAATCGATGCAAGCAGAAGAGAAAACTCATCACGGTCGAGAGAGGAGAGAGGCCTGGAGGATGATAGAGAGCTGCTGGGACAAGCATCGTAGCAGGTCCGCGGAGGACGGTCGGCGCTCCCAAACCAGAATACTATCTTCGGCTCGAACACGTAATGCAGCACAGCAGAGCAGATGGTCTGTCAATATTGGGAGGGGAATCGGGGGAACGGTATGAGATAGGAAAATCCTGAAATTAATCGATTGTCCGGCAACCAGACTGTCGGGTATCAGTGTGTTTGGATTCCCCAAGCCAGAATTTTGGGGGTTCTGGCCATTCCCACATTGACTGACGCCCTCCCAAGTCGCTGGCCGGTGAGCAATCAGTGGCCGAACGTCAAGCAACAGCAACGGCACGTTTCGGTGGTTGACTTCGCGGCTCCTCACCATCTCATGACAAGACACGTTCTATGGTAGACACAGTTGAGGGCATGGCCAGGAAGTGATATGATGCTGTTGGAAGTCGTTGGTTGGCGAGTCATTGACCTCCGAACCCCTCTCCCTCTCCCTTTTGTCCCTTCTCTTCCTTTCCCTCTTCCGCACCCTCTCCCGGCGCTCTGCTTCAACGCAAAGGCAACAAACAGCCCGCCGTTGGATACCTACGCAACATCCGAAAAAAGCCAACAACAACATCCCATTTCATACCTAGCGACATTCGAGTAGTCTCTCACAACATAACATGCCCTCATGCTGGGGAAAGGATAGCCGCCGCTACAAGCGCAAATCAGCGGATGACAGCCACCATAGCTCCTACACTTGATTGACACTTGCGAGGGGAGGGGAGGGAAGAAGATTAGAAAGTCAATAACGACAGAACAACGAAGGGCACAGGAGCAACATCCAACTACATAAACCGCTCTCAGCTACACGTTGTTACGCTGGTATCAATCAGCAGGGCCAGAAAGTGATTCCATCATCCATCAATTAGCGCTACAAGCCTGCAACAGTTGGGGGAAAAAACTGCGGCCACGACAACAACGACAACCATTCGAGCCAGAAAATTACGATGCAGGAAATTCAACTAAAAAGCATTACTTATCATCAACGACTGTCTTTCTCATTTTGGAAATTCAGCAATTCTTCAGACTGACCTTGGAACACTTACTTCCCAAGATACCCAGTAAGCAACAAGCACCATATCAAAAATACCATGCCAAACTAAACACACCCACCCACTCAATACTATAGAAATACAACAGCATAGACCTCAATATAATCAATGTCTTAGTCTTTCTCAACACCAAAGTGAGCCAGAGTATAGCTAGGCTATCGTTTTGATTTTTAACCTTGATTAATTGCAGAATCCTTTGCTTATTTGCTTGCTTACTAGCTTGCTTGCTTCATCTGACTAAGACTGAGCGTAATAATATATATATCGATGAAAAGACGATCGGCCCACGAAGATTTAATCCAATCTAGCAAGAATCGCAAAAGGACAGCCATCCTCCATATTGCATTACATTATAGCTCTCGATCTTCTAAACAGTCGGTACATAAAATCAAACCCTTATTTATCACGGAAAGAAAGCTGCGGTGACGAAAGGAGATGTATGATGACGACGGGCGTTTTGATTGATGGTAGTAAATGGGGGTCTGAATAGCTAGATGGAATTATGATTTGTCTGTCACGGAGAGAGAGGTTTTCGAGTGCGATTCGGATTTAGTTCAATTCTCCTCAGAAATTTTTTTGGGGGGTGTTTTTTTTCTTTTTCTTCTTTCCGACTATTGCGATCGATTGGTTAAGTAGCAGCGAACCTCTTCTTTCTTTCCTTTGGATACCTTAGTGAGGACTTCTTTCAGATACATATATCTAGTTAAATGAAAGGGTATATGTATATGTATATATGTATATATCTATATCTATACATACATACAGCCGTTCGCACTGAGAGACTTGCACCACAGCAACAACAACAACACACACACTCTCTCTCTCACACTCTTATACACCCACTCACACACGCACCATACGGTAATCACATAAAAGGAGTAGTAGTACGGTACGGTACACCACAGCAAAAAACACCCGTCCATCCCCCTTCCAGCCATTCATCCCCACCCGTGCCGTCCCCGCCTCTCACTCTCCATCTCCATCTCCATCTTCGAACCTCTTACTTATAGCATTAAGCTCATTCGGTATACCCTCCCTCCGACTCACCCATCCTCGTACATACCGCCTCCGGAACGGTAATGAGATTCTACCTCGCGATTTTTCAAAGCCTTTCCCTTCCTTACCTGCTATTACATTTAAAGAGAGAGAGAAAGAGAAGAAGAAGAAGAAGAAGAAGAAGAAGAAGAAGAAGAAGAAGAAGAAGAAGAAGAAGAAAAAATACGGGATTAAAAACAAAACGGGAGACGGGCATACAGGAAACCTACCAACGGCCTAAATTCTTGATTGATATTCCAAAAGCTTGAATTAGAGCGGAGCTTCCCATTTATCTATTCTTCCATCAACCTCTCTCTTAGTTGACTAACTACTTCGTACCCACACACTCCGTGTCATTTCTTTCCGTTCCTTTTATTGGTATCAAATATGTAATGGATGACCTTCGCTACCCAGCCAATCCAGCTATCCAGCTGCGTCCAAGATATGCAAGACGAAGAACAAAAAGGCAAAAGTGAGATATGTGTGCGCGCGAAGCAAGGCCATGGTATATCTTCCTTTCTTCATTCCATCGTCAAATCGTGTGTCGCCAAACGGCCACTTCGTTCTGCCCTCTTCTCGGAGATGCAAGAGCCGGCGGGCCAGCTGTGCAATATATGTCTGTGCAATATATGTATATACGCATCTCTCCAGCCTCACTTGTCCCGAACAGATCTTCCAGCTACCATCTGGATGTGAGGAACAAGGAAAGGGATATATCAAGAAAGACTATGGCTATCAGCCCATCCCATTCGGCTCCACACCCTGTACGGCCGCGTAGGAATACGGCAATTCAAGCAAACCGTCCAGCATCCAGTTCAGCGGATCAAAAACCTCGTAGCTGCTCTCGCAATAGCTCATGCCGCCCTCCATCCCGTTCGGCAGGACATGGCTAGCCGGCGTCACGGAGCTCACAGTGTTGACGAGCTGGTTCTGGAGCTGGTGGACGGGTGGCATGGTCGTGGGTTCTATGTGCGTCGACAAGGCGGAAGATTCGGCTGCCGAGTCCGGGTTCGTCGGGTTCTTCACGGCTGCTACACGATACTCATTAGCTTGGAGTGAGGAGCCATGGGGGAGGAGGGGAATGCCATGGGGTAGCTGACCTTCAAGGTTGCCGCGGCCCTGGGCCTGGAACTCTTCGCGCCAGCGCCAAATGCTGTCGAACATGAGACTCATGCTCATCCGGCAGCGAACCTTGAGCTGCAGGCTGTCGTCAACGACGGTACGGGTGTCGTGACCGTGGTTGCCGCTATTGGCCATCTGCTGCTTTTCGCAGCCGCGCTGCTCCACACGTGCGCCGTTCCACATCTGCACCATGAGTTCGGCCAGGCGCCAGGGGAGGTCGTTGTTGATTATACTCATGCTCCGGATGACCCGGATCGTGCGATGGAAGAGGAGGCGGCCACGGTCGAAGTCGATATGGGCAGCAAAGAAGGAGCTGAGGAGCTTCAGCATCGTGAAGACGCCGGCTTCGATCATTTGCAGGATGTAGTTGGTAGCATAGCGGAGCATGGTGCCAGTGACGGGGTCAGGGTTATCATCGAGCTGGACGACATAGTCGAGGAAGTCGACACAGGCGAGCCACAGGCCCATCAAGTCGCCAATGTAGCCGGGGGTGGAACTCGAGTCGAAGAAGGCCGATAGTCGCAAGTGGAGTCCCGCGGCTCGGAGATGCAGCTGAACGACCGGCGAGATGTCTTGTCGGGAGAGGACGGAGACGCGAAGCTCCTGATATTCTCGCTTGTATACCCTGGTCAACATGGCTCTCAGTTCGTCCCCTGCAACGCCTCGGGGGTCGCTAGCATTGCTGTACATCTCTTTCGAGACCTTGTCGCAGAAACGCTCGATCTGAAGACGAGCCTCGAGTTCTTGCGACAGAGTGAAGGGCCCATTCTCGCCTGGTCTGACCGCGAGCGTCCAGTCATACAGGGTGGAGGCTGGTTGACCATAGCCAGTGCCGATGGTTTGTGCCACCACGTTGCACACCGCCCAGGTGACTACCCGGTCGTGCAATTGCTCCCGGTTCAGGTCGATGGACACGCGGGAGAAGTCCTGGGTGTTGTTCGGTCGATGCAGACCAATGCCAGTGGCAGTCTTCATCATCACCCCGCAGAGGATGTGGGTAGGATCCGTAGAGGTGGTGCTCGTCGGCAGAGGCCAGGTGCAGATTAGGCAGAGGGCTTTGACAATGTAGTGGTTGGCGGGGACGTCTCCGACCGTCTGCCAGAGAAGTCTCGTCAATGGTCCCGTTACGGCCGTCAACAGGCCCGGGTCAGCCGTGTATCGACGCGCCGCAACTGTCACGATAGACCAGAAGAGCAGCGGATGTTGGGCGTAGTACGCATCGGGCGCTTGCTGGGGGTCCAGGAACGGTAGGAATGGGTGATAGCACTGCCAGAAATGGCGGAACAGGTCATGGACACTCTGTTCCGTAAGTCTGACATTCTCAAGCTCATGAGCATAGTGTGGCAATGGGTGTGAGCCGCTCCGCTTCAAGCGCAGGAGGGACGAGACGGCCTCTTCGGAACCCATAAACGACTGATGGTTGCCGCGGGAGAGGGAGTATGCTGAGGGGGCGTTTGCCAATGGGGATAGGGACTCGGTCTCCTCGTCCTCGTCGCATATGAATCCTTGCGCGCGGGCTCGGTGGAGGAGTCTCCGCAGACGCTCGATTTCCCTCTCCATCTCGGCGTTCCTGCTTCTCTTGCCAATGCGCTTGAAGTTCGACTCGATCTTGCAGTCCAGCTTCAGTCGATTGCAGCGCGAGCAGGGGGTGAAGGGGTCTTGGACGACATCGCAGCGCAGCTGGAGAGGGAAAAAACCGACAGCTAAGTATCAGCGCCACATCGCATCGCATCGAGTATGTAGGTATTGATTTGGGTCGCTGGTCACCACTCACCTTCTGCTGCCGACACTCGTTACAGGCCCTCTTCACCCCGGGGTGTCGTCGCCTCTCGGCCTCCTCGTCATTGTCCTCTCCTTGACTGCCCGGGCTGCTCTCAAACTCCACGCCGCTCCTCTTCCTCTTGAAGCTGCTGCTGCCGGGTCTGATGCTCGCGACCGGACTGGAAGCGCCGCCACTCTGAGCTCCCGGACCCTGAGCGCCTTCCATGCGGGCAGGCAGGCAGGTAGCCTCAGCGCCGGGTCGGATCGGCTCGGCTCGGCTCGGGGCTCGGGGCTCAGGGCTCAGGGCTCAGGGCTCAGTCTCCGTTTTGCTGGGGCGACCGAGAGCAGCGATGCTCTTAGCTGGTGTGTGTGGGTGTGTGGGTGTGTGTGGGTGCTGGTTGGTAAATGTTGTGTTTCGCGCTGCCCGGTCTCGCATTCAGCGGGGTCAAAGTTTTGCAACAGCAGCAGCAGAACAGTAGCCGAGGGCGTGGGATTATCCGGATTCGAAGTCTGGTCCGGGCATATCAGGGGATACGCTGTATACGAAGTATCACCCAGATTGACGACCACCTCATCTTCGCACCATTCGCGGCCACCATGGGAGACGGGTCCCCACGGCCGTTGTACCACGGTCCGCTCCTCCCACCCACACGCGGGGCATGCAGCACATCTTATACTCAACGTCGACTCGAGAGCGGGAAGATTGGGGTGAAGAATGAAAGGAAAGACAAGGTCAATGGTGAGTGGAATTGGGGTGGGTTGGGTTGGGTTGGGTTGGGCTGAATTGAGTTGAGTCGAGTTCGTGCGGCAGGACAGAGACTTGAGTGGTTTTTTTTTTCTTTTCTTTTTCTTTTTCTTTTTCTTTTTCTTTTTCTTTTTCTTTTT